GCCCCGTGCTGCTCAGCAGACCCCTGCGCCCGTGTTCTTTTCCACACTCTCTTCTGAGGAGCACAGACCCAAAAACGAGGCAGTTCAGGTCTGGCCTCCAAATCTGTTGCGCTAACATGCGGGTTTGAAATTCATCCCTTCTCCCCACGATCGACAATCTTGTTGCTCTCATCCATATAAGGCCCACTCAAGGCTCAAAAGCCAAGTCGTGCTATTTATACTTCCTCATCCAGCCCTACCTACCCTGCACATTGTGCAGCTGAGATTCATGTTCTACCCTGCTCCTGTAACCGCTCAGCCCCTCCCTGAGCAACTCCGGGTCTCAGGAGGCTCTGAGCAGCCACTGGGGTCACCTGAAGAGCAGAGGACCCCACGGGAGCCCCCAAACCTGACAGGGTGGGGAGCAGCCCGCCCGCACACCGCCGGCAAAGGCTGCTCTCGCCACCCACCAACCCCGCGCATCGCGAGCCAGACTTCCCTCGAGCTCGGCGCCCACAGGAGCCTCAAAATAAAGGACCGGCACACTTCAGAAATTCAATACTCAATATGTGTGCTGAGTGCTGCAGGCATTTGTCTGACTGTAACAAAAATCAGGCCTTTGACATTCACAGGAGTAAGTTTAATTGTCAAAAAATGTTTGGAGGAAGAATGCCATGCTTGCATAAGTGCTGACACGTGTCATTCTTCAGATGAATGTGGCACGCTGTCTGGTTTTAGAGCAGTAGCTTTTTGTATGGGACATCTGTTATTTAATCATGAACTGCAGTAACCAGCCTGATTCTTGTGTCCTAAAACCAGGAGATTCAGGATGAAGTCACTTTAGTTTGTTTTTATTAGCAACCACTCTAACCAAATTTGTTGGTGTCCTAATTTCTCTGAAGGACAGGAGCCCAGGGCGGACGGCACAAAGGAAGCACTGAGGAGCTCTGTTCCCATGGGCTGCTAATAGTGCACGTAGTCATTTGACAGCAGAATTTTCAGGAAGGCAGGTCCTGTTTACGGTAAGAGCACTGAATTTCTGTTTACACAGCAGCTTGTCAAAAGCCTGTCACCTTTGCTTTCGGTAGGCAAGTTTTCAAAACAAAAAGATGTCGTAATTTTGAGGGGGTTTGTTTTTTTCAAATTTGATTCTCGTAAATCGATCTAATTCCTTACACTAAGTCAATACAAAATCCTTTATGTTGGTAGAAATCAGACCGGCTCCTGGTAAAATCAGGTAAAAGCACATTTGAGAGAGCGAGCAAGTGAGAAAGCATGTGCACATATATATGTGACTGCGAGCAAGGGCCCATAGACGTTCGGCTTAGTGCCTCGCCCTCGGCCAGCCCCAGGGGAGGTGATTTTCAGCTCTGCACTTTCTCCCCCGAGGTTTGAAACTACACAGGCAGATGTGCTCTGGGCTCATCTCGACAGGTCAAGACGTCCCTGAATAAAATTTGATTTTCATTTCTTCCTAATCTCACAGCTAGCAAAATACAACTCTTGCATGTGGTTTGACCTCTTCTCCCAAGGTGGCAAGAGCTCTTATTTGCACGCCTGAAATAGTCCGTCCGTAACTGCTAGAGACGCGGTATTCAGTGCCGAGGGAATAAACAAACACCTATAACCTGTAGAGAGCTCATTTATCTTAGCCTCCTCCTTTTCTTTCTTCATACAGCAGAATCACGCAATATTAAATCTCTACGGAGTATGACTGCTCAGCTATCTTGCCTGAAAATAGCCACTGCTGGTTTTATGTAATATTTTATGTCCCTTAAGATGAGTTATATCTTGTTCTCCAAAATAAATGAATAATAAATCTTTGCATTTTTAGCCACAGCCACTGAAAATGCAATTGCACAGGAAAGTTAATCACAGCTTGCCAAAGGCAGCTTTATCTGAGTTAGAAAGTAGTAAGAATGTTGGTCACCATCATGGAATTAATTACATTATCAAGAAAGTATCAGACATAAACTTTGATAGGTGGTGGGTCTTCAGAAGTTAAACACTGAATTAGAAAAGAGTTATTTTGTAATTTATTTATTTTTTTAATGATAGACACCATTAGGAAAACACAGTGAATTTTCCTTATTTAAACTTCCAGGGTGGAGGTTTATAGATTCTTGATACCATTTTTTAAATTTAATGATTATTAATACTGAAACACAGAAAGATATTAGCAAACTGGTAATCCAGTGGGAATCAACAAGGCTTCTTGCAACAAATAAAATAGCATTTGTCAGTGTCAGTAAAGCAGCTGAACATCATCCTCAATTTGAGAAATATATTTACAATGTACACACAAAAATATCACTTCTTTCTGTATAGAGTTTTATTATTTAAATGTGTTAGCATTATCTGTTTTGCATAATCCCAGACACAGTACCACTCTTGTCATCGATGTGCCTAGAATTACTGGCTGTGATAAAATATTCATATGAATAAATCAGGACACAAAATTGTAACATGATGTTTTTGCAAATCTGCTGTGTAATTCCCACAGCCAGACCAGGTGGGGAATTTCTGAAGAATGACATCTCCATAATTGCAAGACACAAACTCTAAAGATCCTGCCCCTCCCAGGAAAAAACAAAGCAAAATAAAAACCCTCAAAGCCAAAAGCAAAACCTCTGAGGTCCCCCAAAATGTTTAACTTCTTCAGAATAAAAGGTCTCCGCAAATGAGATTGCTATATACGACGGATTGGTTTTCCTTACACCAAGCCATACAATTCAGGTTTCTTTACATGATGATATTTTTATGGAGTGCAATCTACAGAATAATGCAACTACTAAGCAACTCTATATTCTATATGAGAAATAATAATTAATGTAGTTCTGAGACAGACTGTAGATTGATATAATTTAGAAACATTCTCTGTTGACCAACTGTCTGTGTTTCCATCGTATGCAGGAAAGAGTGGCATTGCAGAGGACTGCAGAAATATATCCCATTCTTCCCTGGGATTCCCTGTGGTCCATGTCTGGCCATCGAATTCTCACTGTATGGGTCTGTCTTTGCCACAGTAATGCAGCACAATACTACTGTCGATAAAAGCATTCGTTATTCAGTCACGTTAATATTATTATAGCCTATTTCCTTCCCGTATTCAAACATCAAAAGCCCATCATGGATTTTGTTTTTCAGTGTAAGCACCAAATTAAGAGATAATCAAGAGTTTCTCCCCCATGAGAGACCTCCATTTGCGGCAGCAGCGCCCGTCACAAGCCTGCACGCCTGCTGCCGCACGGTCGGTCTCCCCGGACTGGAGCCTCCCCGCCGTGCCACGGTCTGCTCGGCCTTCCTGCAGAAGTGTGAGGATCTCCACGCGGGCGCAAAAGGCGCCATTTCACATGAAGCAAACCTGGAGAATTCCTCACTTGTGCTCTGTGACCTCCCAGTCGAATCGCACTAAATTCCATGCTGGGAAATTGTGCTGAATTGCAAATATTTTTTTTTTTTTTCCCCCTAATATCTTCATGATCCACAAAATCCCTGCCATAGTCCCTTGTCAACTGATTCTCTCAGAGGCTGTTCTGTCCTCATTACATCAGCAAGAATATTGCTTCTGACTTCCTTCAGAAGCAGGATTGCTTCTTCATATTCAAAAGGAAACTCTACTCAATATTCATAAGCAACACCAAACCAAAACAAACAGCTCACAAAATGACAATCTGCCAATGTTTAGGATGCTTCCAAAGGACCTAGAAGCTTGCCAACTTCCTACCTATTTCCGTAACCCACAAGCAGTGTTATGTTTAAACAATTCCCTTCACTCTTCTCACTTTGCAATGTTTATTCCTTCTGCAGTACATTTAGAGTTATATTTTATTTTTCCATGGATAGATCTATCCTCCCCCAAAAGCCTGATACAAAGAGCTTGTAACAAATATATATATATATATATATATATATATATAAAACTGGTTAGGTTGCCCACATGATCTAAATTGGCTCGAGTATTTCAGCCTTTCAGGCATAAAACTACAAATGCTTAAGCTCTGAATCAGGGAGTTACACAGGCCCCCGTACTTGTTAGATTCCTGAGCCTATTATGATCAGCTCTCCCTTCAAACCCTGTAGTAAGAAGTGTTTTCCCTTTTTTTCCATTTTTCTTCTCTCTCTTCCTGTGATCTGCACTAGATGCTTCTCTGTTTGTCCCCGATGCTGTCTATTATTAACCCAGAGGCTTATAACTGAATCATTAACTATTTCACTGGCTTTTCTTCCTTGGCCCAATATAAGAGTTTGCTCTGATAAGGAAGAATAACTCCAGACAGGAAAACTGGCAGAAACATGTCCCTCTCTTTCTTCTTGTTTAATATTAGAGGAAAAATCCAACGCTTAGAGCAGGGATTGAACATCAAGCAAACCAAAGCCGTTTCTGAAACCAGACAACTAGAAGATTCAGGACTTGCAGGTTGCAGAAAAAAAGAACATGGAAATCTGTACACGCACAACGGCAAAGGCAGCCCCGAGTACTGATGAGCTCAAGGAGCTGTTCTGTATTCTCTCTAATGTCACTATCTGTCCCAGTCAGTGAGATTAACCCCAATGCCGGGGTTGCTGTCTCTTGTTATCAGATGCATGTCACAAATCTGAAATATTATCGCTCCTCACGTAGCAATACACATGTTGCCTCTCAGTAGAAAGGACATTGGGAGATGGATTTACAATACCCCCTTCCAGAACTCAGTGCATTCTTGTTCTTTTTTTAGCTAAGTAGTAAAATAAGGCTATTTTGATACTTCTGGTCCATTGCAACCAGTGCTGAGGGCCCTTCTCACTATCTTCATTAAAAATCCTGTTAAATGTAGCAGCTCAGTCAAACCTTGCCTCAGAACACGCAGACAATGTTAAATCATGAATGAGAGACCTGCTTTGGACCCGCCTCAGTTTGGACTGCCAGGCAGTCAGGGCAGTTTGGGAGATTAACAGGCCAGCCATGCAGCATGACAGAACCCTTAGCGAAGAAAACACCCTCTAGTAGCATATAAAGAAGTCGAGAAATAGCTCCTTACCTGGTAGATCATGACTTTGAAGTTTCTGCGTTTCAGGAGCTCCGCTTCGTTGGCCTCTAGCTTCTTTATCTGCCCAGCTTGCTTTTCCAGGTTCTGCCGAACGGTTTTCACATTGACGCTCACCTTGCGCACTTTTTCCAGCATCTTGTTCACGGTGTTGCTGGTGGTGGTATGTGCCTTTGTCAGCTTGGTTAATTCGCCTTGGATGCTGGTCACTGCGCTGTCCATCTCTTGCTGTCTCTCCTCCAGCTGTGTTTGGGTCAGCTGGATCTGATCCACTGCTCCAATGATCTTGTCCAGAAGGGTCAGCACCATCACACCATTGATCTGGTCTGATTTGATGGGTTCTTCAGGCACTTGCTCCTCTGAGGCCTCAGAAGCAGTTGGTGGTTCGATAATTTGCAGAGTAGTATCCTCCATGACTGCTTGGGAGTCCTGGCTAGCAGAGCCGGGAGACGCTGTCACTGCAGGGAGAGAGAGGAGGGAAAACTAAACCCGAGCCTCAGCTAAACTCTGCGCTGGGAGACACGCCAGAAATGGAGAGCACAGTGTGTGGATGTCTGTGCTGAAAATCAAATGGCACAGCTCTGCAAAGCCGTCCAGTGAAACTGCCCTGCAAAATTTTCCAGGCTTGCAGGTCATTGGCTGACTCCACCTCAGCTATATAAAAGCAGCCCGCTGCCAAATGCCTGATGACCCACCCTTTCTGAAATGATTAAAATAGTTGGAGGGGAGGCGATGGCTTTGCATGCAAACACAGGCACGGATCAGTGAGGAATGTAAAGCTCTGAAACCACAACCACCTCTTCTTTACCATAAGTCCAAAGGCACTATAAGTAATGAGAGGAAAAAACAAAAACCTTGAATAAATGGCTCGGGAAGCTGCTGGAAAGAAAGCAAGCCCATCTGGGCACAACTGTATACATTAAAGGAAGCCTGGTTTAAACAACCGCACACGTTAAAGTTCAGCTGGAAAATTCAGATCTTTTGCCAAAATTTAGGGGTTTTCTCCAGGACTGTGAGAGCCTGGTTTTCAATACTTTAAAGAAATGCTATAATTTGTATTCAGTGGTTATGGCACATAACTTCTGGATTATAAAAATGCATGCTCCCATGTGTGTGAACGTACACAACGGGCGTACACATGATATACAAAGTGTGTACCACGTCTCTACGCAGATTTGACACGGAAAGAAGTAGTGTAATTCACTCCTGAAGTGAAGCAGCCAGCCACTCCCACCTAAAAGCAGCTATCTCAGCTCTGCAATCCTCAATCCATCGACAAATAGACTACATATTGCCTTGGAAAACACGGGGGAGAAATAATCCTTATTTTGCTAACTCTCAACTTCAGTATTGACACAAAGCAATTCATAGATCCTTGTACAGTGTTGGCAGAAGTTTATGCCTCGTGGAGCCATCACCAGCTTACTGCCTTAGAAGACACTCGGGAGGTGCTGGCAAAGACTGTCTACAACAAGCCAGCAGGACAAAGCACAGAAGCGTGAAGAAGGAAAATTCAGATCTTGAGAGTGATCCGGGGTGAGACCTTCTCCACTACCACTGGGGTGGGCTCAGCCAAAGGAAATCAAGCTGCCACGGTCAGGGCTGCTGTGAAGCCTGTGCTGGCTGGGGCAGCTGAGAGCCCTTCCCAGCTCAGCTGAGGGGCTGTGGGCAGACTGGGAAGCCTGCAGTTTCCCTCTTGTCCTGTAGCCTTGACAACAAGCAATTCATACTCAGCACATCCTGCCTCCTTCCAGGGTCGAGCCCGCCTTTGCAGCATGCCACAAGCTGGCAAACAAAACGAACACTCTGCCACGCTCACTTTCTCCAGGCTCACAGCCTACCTCAAGACAGTTCTGGAAAAAATGCTTAATTCCAAGCATACAAGCTGGGAAACCCGCGACGCACCAACAGATGTACAGGAGCATTGTTTAATGATGAATGCTCATGACAGTCAGCACTTTCTGTGCCCCACGTGACAGCTCGCTTTTTACTGCTCTTGTACCCACACTGCGCCATTGATCTGGATTTGGTTTCACTGTGCATCAGTAAATTGTGCCGTGCAGCTTCCACAATAGGTATTATGTCATGTATTAAAAATAGGTTGCTTTTCTATACCCTGTTTTTTCCTGGAGGGTCCTTTTTCCTGAGGGTTTATTTCCAGTGTTTGCTGATGATGAGTCAGTTCCATGAAAAAAAAATCCTCACTCCAGCCAGATAGCGTTGAGGCTCTGCAGTTGTTTCTCACTGGGGATATCTGCTTCAGAGTATATTTCCACAGATATCTGCTGTGAAGTTCCATGTACAGGACAGGATGCAAGCAGAGCACTGCTCTCTTTCTAGGTCTGCCATCCATTCCATGCATGACTTCAGTGCACTCTCTGTGCTTTTGTTTCCCCATTTGGGAATAATCAAAAAATTCAGGTTGAGTAGGTCAATCTAGACAGAATCAGATGCAACGACAGAACAGGAATTTGTATTTGTTCTTGATACTCAGTAGAAGAGATGTAACACCACACTCAGTGCTTGCTGTGCACGCAGCGATCACACCCCAAGCTAAAATGTGATGAGTAATTTTCTATGTTAGGAGTAACTCCATTTCAGCCATTTTCTGCTGTGGAGACATACCAGGAAAAGCCAATAGGTGGCAAACTGCAGCCTCCCCTTTGGAGCCTTCATGCTGACAAACACAGGACAGCGAAATCTGTCTCAATCTCTTCCAGAGCAGACAATTTCTTGCTGCTCTTCTTGCACAGGAGATATAGGTTGATCTTTGGTGCTTCCAGACTTGCACTATGCCTTAGATATTACTGACCATCCCAATATCCCAGAGATTTTACAGCAACACTACTGAATTCACTATATGGGCATGGAACAGCCCAAACAAAAGCTAGCATATTTCAGCTTCAAAGAAAAACTGTCAGACATATTCAGGATGACAATGTGCAGCATCTGCTTCCACATCAGGCCATGAAAGTTCCCGTGACTATAGAAAACAGCTGAGCTCACTAAGGTCTTAAATAGCGAGATACAGCTGCTTAGGGCCTGTCAGAAATAAGAAGTGGCCCTGGCTTGCAGTGGACAGACTCTCTTAAATTTCTCCAAGTGTGGTTGATACAATTTGTCCCTTCACCTGTAGCTTAAGTACAGAGTACATGGCCTGGACAGAGAAAAAGAAAGAAAATGATCCTCTATTTTCCAAGGGCCTGGGGATAAGTACGGGGGGAGGAAATGTGCAGCTTTCTGTACTGTTAGATGCATCCCACACACGAGAATAATTCAGCTTTATTGGCCGCTGCCAGTGCAATGCGTTTCACTTTCATTACAAATGAAGTTACACATTATTTAACCTTCCAACCTGCCCACTTTCTCATAACTGAGGGATGTCAAATATCAGAATAAAAGCGAACCCCAAGAGTGCCAGCAGCCCTGCCACCGCCATTCCTACACGCACCACCACCAGCCTCGCTAACGCGGCCCGCGTGTCGTCCGCCACGACCGCAGCCCGCCACACTGACCCGCACGGCGTCACTATTGCCTTACAAATCTGCGGGTGGCTTTTTTTGTCTCGTAGGCGCTCTCAGGAGCATTTGGGATTTGTTCTTCAGAGCTTGGGCAGCACCCCGACCCCCACCAGCACCCCTCTGCTGGAGCATTACAAACAAGCCCAAGGTAGTAACGAGGACGCTCCAAAGGCAGCGGACGCCTGCCCGAACCCCGCAGGGCATCACGGCTCCGCTCTGCTGCGCGCCGCGAGCGGCCTTCAAACAACGAGAGGCGCAGGGACGGGGATCTGCGGTGAGATCGTCATTTTGCCGCTGCAAAGGCTCCAATCGCCCCCAAACCAAGCATCTACTCAAAGACAGGGCCAGTCAGCAGAAGCACTTGGAAGTTTAGCGTGTTTTAACTTCAGGACCTGTGGTTTTTGGCTTCCTTCCCAATAAGCCGTTTCTGTTAACAGCCTGGGGCAGAAGACCCCTGACGGCAGGGGGGTTTCTGTATTTAACTGGATTTTTGTGAAGAGCTACCCCCTTGGGTTAGCCCGTGGGCTGCTGGAGGGAATTGTCCGCTCGCCCCACACATGGATTTAACTCCGAAGAGCCCTTTTTTGCTCTCATTTCCCGTATTTTTTGCTCTTTCATTTCCCCTATTGCTACTGACTGCAGCGAGGGCACCCTCCCCTCTGGCCGGCGGGAGGGAGAGGAAAGCGGGGCTGCGGCGCCCAGGGGTGCCGGGGGCGGGGCACGGGGCTCCCCCGGGCCGCACACCTGCACCTGCACCCCCCCCGCCCGTGACGTCACGGCCGTACCACCGATGGCGTCAGGGGCGGACAGGTGACGTCACCAGCCCCGCCCCGCCGCCGTCACTTCCGGTGCGGGCCCGGCCGCGGCGCGCCGTCGCTAGGAGACGTGCCCGCGCGACACCGCCCCGCGTGCGCGGTGACGTCAGGGGACGGGAGCCGCCGCGGATCAGCTGCGCGGGCGCTGCGGCAGGTGAGGCGGCGGGGGTGGGGGCGGGGAACGGGGAGCGGGCACCGGGCACCGGGCACCGGGCACCGGCACCGGCACCGCCCTCGCCCTCACGGCCCTTCCCCGCAGAGCCCGCCGCGGGTCCGGCGCCGCCATGGGGGAGCTGTTCCGCAGCGAGGAGATGACCCTGGCCCAGCTCTTCCTCCAGTCCGAGGCCGCGTACTGCTGTGTCAGCGAGCTGGGCGAGCTGGGCAAGGTCCAGTTCCGCGACGTGAGTGCCCGCCGACCCCCCCGGGAGCCCCCCCGGGAGCCCCCCCGGGAGCCCCCCCGCGCCCCCGGGGAGCCCCCCCGCCCCTCCCCGCCCGCCGCCCCCCGCGGGAACCCCGCGCCCCCCCGGTCCGCGCCCCCCCGCTCCGCGCCCCGCTGAGGGAACGCGTCTCTTCCCCCAGCTGAACCCGGACGTGAACGTCTTCCAGCGCAAATTCGTTAATGAAGTCAGGAGGTGTGAAGAGATGGACCGAAAGCTACGTACGTCCCTGTCTGGGGTTTGATACGGCTCTCACTCTGTAGCTTTTACAGCGGGGAAAAAAAAAAAAAAAAAAAACAAACAAGCCAAGCCTCAACGTAGGCTAAACCTGCGAGGCAGTGTTAGAAAATAAAGTGCTGATCAGAGAAGTGAAGGCTGCCTTCCTTCCCTGCCTTGGCCAGTCGCACTGCCTCCAGGGACTCGCTTCTTGCTTGAGAGATAACTTAACCAAATCGGAGGATGCTGGGACAGGAGGTGAAAGAATTCACAGCAGCTCATCGGGCTAGGTGGAGGTTACGGTGGCAGTCTGACATTGAAGTGTCTTTTTAGTTAACATCAACAATGCTCTCTCTCCAGGGTTTGTTGAGAAGGAGATTAAAAAAGCAAATATTCCTATCATGGACACTGGTGAAAACCCGGAGGTGCCTTTTCCACGTGACATGATTGACTTGGAGGTAACGATGTGTGTTAAGACTCCGGTACTATTTGACTCTAGTAGAAACAAGGGGGATTCGCTCTCTGGGTAGATACCTGTTGAGTTTAGTGGCAAAGATGCATTAACTGTAGTCCCCAGGTGTCACTTGAAGTGCTACCTCTACTAGCTCACATTAGTTTGATTTTGATCACAAGCATGGTTTTGCTTGTGCATTTATCTAAATATAGTTAGAAATGATAGAAAAAGAATTTCACCCACTTAAATGAGTCAAAAACTGTTGGAGCTGCATGGTTTATGGTGGGTCAGTCTTAAACTTTATAAGGATTTTTATTGATTCGAAGAACACTGTAGAAATCCAGTCTATAAAAGACTGGCTGAGTATGAAAAGTTTCAAGCTGCCTGAAAAGAATGTCACAAATCTGGATCTGTGTGCCATAGCAAACTGGAGGCGCATCTGTAATTGCCCGCAAATTGCATGAGGATGTAAAGCATCTTGCCTACTTTCTTGTTTTAATAGAATTAACAGCAGTTATTTATGGAATTGCTTTAAGCCCTTTTGCCTTTTCCTCTTTACATCTTGCAGGCAAACTTTGAGAAAATTGAAAATGAGCTTAAAGAAATCAACACAAACCAGGAAGCTTTGAAGAGAAACTTCTTGGAGCTGACGGAATTAAAATTTATACTGCGTAAAACTCAGCAATTTTTTGATGAGGTCAGAATACCGGGGGCGGGTTAACACTTGGGGAGCTGGTTCTTCTCCCACAGATTACCATTTTTATTCTCAAATGTGTTTTGAGTTGCTGTTTTGGACAGCAGGGTCATTTTTGTGCTTTGTTTATGAAAGCTTCTTAAATTATTTTCCATTTTTCATGCAGTACGCCTAGCTACCCGTGATTTACCTCTTATGATGTTGTTTTGGGTCTTAGTTAAGCAATGGTTTGTCTAAAAATGAGGTAAAATAGTTCAGATGCTAGTAGTTTCTAAAGCATGTTAACAGACCAAAACTTTGGTACTACAGTGAGCGCTTTCTTCAGTGGGTAAGACTTTTTCTTTGGTACATATGCAGATAAACAGTCATGCCTTGCTTACACAGAGGAATTACAATCAAGCTTGACTTCTCTTCAGCCTTTGAAATGTCATATGGAAATTACTCATTAGGGTCATAATGCAAAGTCCACTGAAGTAACAGATCATTTATTTATTTATTTAATTGAGCCTTTGATCAAACCCTGAAGTTTTCAGAGGTAAGTTCTGGAGCAAAGCTGCCGTTTAGAATCTTCAACATTTTGTCAAATACCAGCTAGGCTGGAAACTGGCAGCTCTTTCACTGGACCTGAGGAGAGCTTCTCCGATGTCATTCATGATACAGACAGAAAGCCTGCACGGGAGAGGTCGTAATCCTTCATTGCAAAGCTGAAGTATCTCAGGGTCTAGGGAGTTTTCTCAAAGAGCTCCTGTATGGTTTTTAGAACAGTAAGGAAATTATGTTTTTGCTGAGTACATGTCCTGTTTCCTCTAATCCAAGGATTTGATCAAAGAGTTCTTAACGGATATGGCTTCTGGTATTTACAAAGGCTGTGATAAAGTAGAGCTGGGCTCCTGCAAACTTCAGACCATTTATCTAACAGTTTGGTTTCTGTTTTTTTGGCACAGGATGCTGCCTGTTCAGGCATTTAGGGTTGTTCCTGTGCCAACACAAGTCTTAATCATTGCTGACATAGATACTGCTGCTCGTATGATCAGTTGATGGGTCATGGGGTTGGTTTCAGTACAAAAAAACCTTGTCTTTGAGTGTTGAATGTCCACTTACAAGTGTCTTTTTGGACAAACATCATTAACCTGATAATCTGTTACGTAGCTGCATTAAGGTGCCACTACCTGCCTGTTCTGAGTATTGAGTAAAACCAAGTACAGCTAGTGCTGTGTGCTTTTTTTATTAATTACTGTCCTTTCTGGTGAGAGCTGCCTACTGCTTTTCTTCAAGTACAGTATGATCATACTTAATTTAAAGATCAAAATTGGTTTCCTAAACAGTCTGCATCAGGTCACCCACAACAGGGAACTCATGTCAGACTTAAAAGAACTGGCCACAGAAAGTTTAGATATGTTCCTGCTCCTGTTTGATAACTGTTTTCTGTAATAATAAAATTGAATACAACAAATAAAATGTGCTGCTATATGTATAAGCAAACTGAACAGCAGCTCATATGTGAAGTTCAGTAAAACATAGGTGTTGAAAATTTAAAACTCTTTCAGTTCACCCAGTAAACAACAAACAGCTGTGCAGGAGAGATCCTGACTAGTCCAGGACTTTTGAGCCTTGTGCAGTCCACTGATTATCCTGGAGTAGCGAATGCTTCATTTCCTCATGCTGTCATTTGCGCAGTACCTTCAACACTTGAAGACTTCAATAACTTGTAATTAAGATTGTGTTATCCATAGTAATAAGTTGCACAAGAAATGGCTTACTATCCAAATTCCTTTATACATGGCATTTGCTCTGCTGTCCAGAGTTTGGGCACTGGGGGAGGGAGGATGGCAACAATTTTTCAGCTGTTTTTCATGTGACCATTCTAGTCAAAGTAGCCATCTCTTGTTTCAACATACCATGTTGATGATTATGCTCCTTTTCTCAGTCTTCTTGTCTTTGCTTATGAAGAACAGTATGAGCTGGAGAGATTTCTCTGAAAGTTTTGCCTAGAGTGTGAGCGTAAAAGAAGACTGGAAAAGTAATGGTTAATGGCATGCAGTCCCCTGTCTCTCTTTCCTCTAACTCTTCTCACCATCTGCTTTCTTCTGTTTGTTTTGCATCTGTCATTTCTGCCTGGGCTCTGGGTTAATAAGTTAGATGGTGAAATGAATCCCTTTTAGTTCTTGTGAAAATTGATTTTTGTTCTGTTTGTGAACTGGAAGGGGCTTGAATTGTATGGCATCGCGTGAAGTGATCCAGAGCTGTTACAGAGCAGAGCTATAATCAAGAGCAGGGGAAAATGAACCTTTTTTTCAGGCCTTGGGATTAAAGGTGCTGATCTGGGTGAACAATAAGCAATTTTAAAATGTTTAATAATGAAGGGTCTGCATTCTGATTACTGGCATGTAAATGCTTGGGTTTTTCCAATCCTGAATGACCTGATATAGTAAAAAAGTACTTCACAGTAGCTGTGATATTTCACTTGGTGCTGGTGAAAACTCTTCTTCAAGGTAAATTTCCTTGTTTTTCTGCATTGTAGCTGGATAGCTCTTTCATTTCCACATAGTCTCTCCATTTTTTTATTTCTGTTAAATCTTACGATGCTCCTTCAGTTATCCTTCCAGAACCAGAGCTGGTGTTGCTATGCTGTTTCCTTTCTAGGAAGGGTGTGATCATCAAATCAGAGAGGTGAATTTAAAGGACATAGGGGTTTGTTATGCAAATAATCCTTGTGTAAGAAAGTTCTTGTTCAGTAAACCTGGTCTAATACAAATTTATTCTAAGCTGCTTTGTTTGGTAATTTCAACCCCTCTAAGCAGGACATGCCTTTGTTTTATGCAGTGTCCTGAATAAGGGACACATAGCCCAAAAGGGTCAGAGGTAATAATAAACTCTTATAAGAATTACTTTCTCGAGGGAGGCGGGTCCAAAGCTTTCACATGTGCTATCCTTGTTTTTGTTTCATATGCTGAAATGTGGTGTACCTCACAAAGGTTATCACAGAGAGCATCTTGATTACTGATAAATACAATACAAGCCTCTTACAATTGTAACTTAGTGTTTTTCAACACCCTGAAATCTAGATATCAAACAGTCACTGGTATGTTTGGTCTGTATGTTTCGTTTTGAGGTACCAAACCTTCTTTTTTTGGTTGTGTTCTCTATGAAGCAAAATTTTCATTCAGTTTTTGATGTTGCAACAAGTTGCCTTAAAGTTGGAAGGATCAGAAATTCTCGTTGGCTTTCCAAACTAAATTAAGGGCTCCCTTACTTTTGTAACATCTGTAAGCTAAAGCAAGTGTGCGTACAAGCAACTGAGCTGCATTTGATGGCAACCTTGCAAAAATTTTTCCTGTATATAGTAAATACTTCTGTTTAACATGCAAGTAAAATGTTGTGGAGTTTCTTGCTAAAATTATGATGCAGCTGTTGCACAAAGAAACTACGGATGAGTCATTAAACTTGCTATATACTTTTGCAAGGCTGCGCTGTATGTGTGCATGCTATTATACGTGTTCTAGGGCCAAACTCTACCTTCAGGTGTATTTTAGCAAGTTCCCCTGACACCTCTGTGGGGAAGACCTGCTGCATGCTGCAGAGGGTAGAATTCGGCCCTGTGTTTGTTCTAAGGAACTGTAATTTTTGTCATTTCATTATATAAGCTGCGGAGGTAGAAAAAATTATGACATGGGGTTGAATGAAGTTTGAAGATGATGTGCAAGAGGATGTGATTTGAGCATCCTTCCTGACTTGAATTGCTGACACTTACAAGCTATATTCCCAAGAATTTTAGTCTGCAAATTAGTTGCAGGGAAGGAGAGTATAAAAAGTGTCCTATTTTAATGCCTGGCTAGTCAAAAAATGAGCAACATTGTCAGGCTGCCCTAAGCAATGCATCTCATGTTTCTGGCAATAATACATATAGTGAATAAGGATAGATATCTTGAAGAATTAAAAGATTTAATCAGTAAGCATGTTTTTAAGCTGGAAGTATTGTGTATATTTTTCCTAGAGGGAAAACTTTGTAAAGCCAGTAAAGAAAACTGCCATTCAGTACTTCCAGGTTTTGTTACTGATTCTGACCCTGTATCGGTGCTGATGTGGCGAGTGCCGTGGACTCAAACTATCGTCACATAATTCTGAAATGACTGAGGTGTTGCCGTGGCGTTGGAGCATGGCAGGAGCCCGGCAGGCACGGGGTGCACAGGGCTGCCCGGCTGGCTGTAGGGCTCCTGCCCCCTGGAGCTGCAGGCTGCCCGAAGGCCAGCTCACCTGCCTCTGGAAGGCTTTCCTGAGCATCCTTCTTCCTGTTAGCAGAGTAAGACATAAGCACGTATACTTATGCAAGTATAATTTCCCAGGCACCTCTTGGTAACCTCCTTTGCATCTTTATTAATATGCTGAAATGCACAAGCAGTGGAAGAGGGAATCGGCATCTACCCGCAGGTTTTTCTCCATTTAAGATCTAGGGGAAGGTGAGAGTAAAGTGTGTCACTGTTTTGTGCCGTTAAAAAGTGGTTCTTGGGAACATCACTTGTATTTAAAGCTTGATAAATTTTTCTGAATTCTGCCTTTCTTCAGACTTATATATCCCACAGCCCCTTTGTTCTGTTGCAGCAATCCTCAGACCTTTCTTGTATGGAAGCTTTGCTGAGCCATTCCACGTTTCCTCTTGTTTTTCTCCTTTCTTGTGATTCTTGCTGTCTTTTCTATCATCTAGTTCCCTTTTCTTCTGTCTTATGTTTGTTCTTTCTTTTTCTTTTTTTTTTTTTTTTTCTTTTTTTTGTCTCCCCAAACTATCTCCTGGTTCCTCGTTCCCTGCATGCCACTAACTAGTTTCATTAGATATTAATTGATTTGTGAATTCAGGCTGAATTGCATCATCAGCAGATGGCGGATCCAGACCTGTTGGAGGAATCCTCTTCACTCCTGGAACCAAGCGAGATGGGAAGAGGTGCCCCGCTACGACTTGGGTAATGGCAGTTTGTGCTTTCTTTTATCTGGCTTTAGGGTTGCTGGCTCATGTTCAGCCTGTGGAATCTGCAGCGATTTGAGCGCAGTTGTGGAATTTCCCAGGCTGGCGCATCAAGCAGATGAAGGCTGATCTAAAACTAGCTGTTGGTCTCTGTTCCTGCCCTATGTACATTAAATTCCCAGTTTGTAATTGTGCTTCACACATGTATCTCTGCAGAAAAAAAAACTGTGCTAGTTTGCTCCTTGTAAACCTGTTCTGGTTGCTTTTTCAGGCGTTCTGAGCTCTCATAGCTTTGTTGAAACTAGTAACTACTGGGAGCCCATAGTACTCTGAAAAAACTGTGTAAAGCATCTCTTTATTAGATACTTCCAGGCTGTCTTTGTATGTATGTAATTCTTCATCTGGACATAGGGGTGCAAACCTCTGAGATCTTTTGGAGCACATGCCTAGAACATAGTGGTCACCGTGACTGCTGTAATCCTTGCCCTGTAATGTGCCAGGAACCTACTGAAATGATGACTAGCTAGCATAGAGACTGTGTGTCTAAACACATTTGTTTCTCCTTTAACCAGTGATTGATTTTTTTATAGATGATTTCATTCTGTTAAAAGGCATAGCTTGTGCTATAGTGCAGTTGGTTTTGTTGTGTTTTTCTCTCTCTGTATTTAGAGGACCTTCCGTTTTGCCGGAAGAACTAATTTTTAAGAGTTTTGTAGCCTTCAATCTGATACTAAACTCCAGTTGCCATCAGTGTTTTGGATGTCAGGCTATGCATTCTTTTAGGTGCAGAACTTCCATGTATGCTGTCCCCTTTACAGGTTTGTGGCTGGTGTGATCAACCGCGAGCGAATCCCCATGTTCGAGCGCATGCTGTGGCGAGTGTGCCGAGGGAATGTATTCCTGCGTCAAGCAGAAATTGAAAACCCCCTGGAGGATCCTGTAACGGTAAAAGGAACTATTGTTTATGGCAGCGAAAGTCTCAGCTGTGTAAATGGATCTAAGATCTATAGATCTAAGCCTCTATCCCTCAGTGGGCTCCGTGCAGGCAAACATTTGGGTTGCGTCCTGTCACAGTACCTGGCTGCAGCCTCTGAGGCTTGAGTGATAAATGTTTTCCTGTTTTAGTAAAACAGACATAGCAAGATGGATGATGAATGCTCTGGAAAGGGGGAAAAAGAATTAAAAATTTGGAGTACAGCAGGGCATATTTATTTCTCTGGCACAAACTACAAGTGCAACTCCTGTGTGCAGTTCTGAATAAGCAGTAATCCTCCTTGAAAGAGGTTCTTTTGGACATTAGCAGCGTGTAGCATCTGTAGCTCATTTACTCTGAACCTGGACCTTCTGTTTTTTCTTCACTTGCTAATCAACAATTTAAAAACCCACCTGAGAACTGCTGGATTTATTACAGAGATAAATAGTAAATGTTGTGATTGGGCCTGGTTTTACATTCAGTGTCCTCTTTGCTCAAATCAATGGACAGTGCCCAGACTTCAGGAACTCTTGCTCTTAACCAGTAAAAAAAGCAGCTGTGTGCAGGCTCCACTAGAACAAAGACCAAAGAGTTGAAACTCAGTAACTGCCTCTGTTTCTCATGTAAGGCTGACGTGTTCTCTTGTCCCACCAACTGCTGGTAGTTGACCTGTTGAATTATCTGTCTACTAGGAGAGACTTTGTTCTTATTGTGCAACACTTCCTTAAATTGAGGTTACACCTAATGTAATTATTCTTGAAACATTATGTTAAAATTTCCTAAGTAAGGTAGAACAATAACTTGTCAACAAATGCAGGAAAGGGGACCTGGCTACCAACATGAAAACAGCTGTACAAAGAATGTGTTGTTGGCCTCCCTGGAGAATCGAAGTTGTCAAAGTCTGCTTCATTTTATTTTCATTCACTCTTTAGCTTTTTGCTTGATTCTGTAGGTGAGCAGACTGCTGGTAAATATTTCATTGCATCTTTGGTCTTTTGGAGATCTTCCCAGGTTTTTCTGTTTATTGTGTGACATAGAATAGATAATCTAGAACATTTTGCCTCACTAAGCACAAGTACAGTAGGGGTATTCTATGCTGAGGATAAGAAAATTGCTTTCCTTCTGACCGTTTCAGTGTTGTTAAGGTACCTTCTTGACTCATCGTGCAGATATGACCTCTGTATGTACAGATTCAGAGGAAGGAACTGTAGAACTCTGTTGTAATTTGCTATAATGCTAATTTCTATAAACAGCTGAGCTATTACAGTGCACTGTTTCTTTTATTCTAGGGGGATTATGTGCACAAGTCTGTGTTTATCATCTTTTTCCAAGGCGACCAGCTGAAGAACAGGGTCAAGAAGATATGTGAAGGGTACGAAAGTCTTACAGCTGGGCAGCTCTCTCAAATGTTTGAAACACATTGACGTGACTTATTGTCAGTATTTTTCAACGTCTTATTTCCCAGTAATGGTAGGAGTACATATTTTGACAGCAAATAAAACATACCTTAAGTAGCTAAAACATGTTTTACAGTCAAACTAGCCACTGGCCAAGTCTGTAATGCTCAAAGTAGATGACTGCTTTGTTAGAGAATGCCTAAAACCAAGGGAGGTCAAGTGTTGAACTTTGACAGACCTAGTGGGATGTCAGCAGGCAGTGCTCTCACAGAGGAGACCAGCAGTGTCTACTTCTAGCAGCAGCTGCATTGGCATGGTAGCAGCACCCTGAACTGGGATGGCTAATCAACTTTGTGACACTGCCTTTGAGACACTGTCAGTACAAGGAACAGAGGATTTTCTCCCACTTCCATTTTCTTAAGTATTCAGCTTCTGTTTTGGCCTAAAGCAAACTTGTACCCACTTGATTTAGAGGCTGAAACTCTGCCTGGCAGTCTTTGCTGATCAGAAACTTCTCTTAAGGTGCTTCTTGCTTTATTTCTGTGTTCAGGCTCAGCCATCTGTTTCACTGACTGATTTATCCTCTTTTCATCTTCGTTACTAAGGTGGCTTGCATGTCTTTCAGATTTCGTGCCTCCCTCTACCCATGCCCAGAAACACCTCAGGAGCGGAAGGAAATGGCTTCTGGTGTCAATACCAGAATTGATGATCTTCAGATGGTAAAATAACAGGGGTCAATGCCCTTTTTTTTTTTTTTTTTTAATAATATAGTTGAAAACTTCTTTGGATCCTTTTAAAATGTGAGAATTTTTGGCCCTATTAGATGACCATATTTTCAGCTCCAGGTGGCTTGAGACCAGCAGCTGAGCAGTGCAAGAAAGATGTTTGGAGACATTCTGCTCAGTTGTTTTCTTTGTCAGGGTTTAGGATGGTGGGGTGGTGTGAGCTTTCTGGAGGGCTGAGCAGTTAATTATATGTACCTAATACAGCATTGAGAGAGAACTGCATAGCAGGGAGCAGAGAGGAATATGCATGTGTAAGGGGATACCATGTTTTCAAAGCATGCTTGTCTAATTGCCTGTTTCATCTGCAAGAACTTTGAAACCATTTAACCTTATTTCCAAGTTGAGATAACAATGCTAACCTTAACTTAGCTGTTCTTTTTTCTGCCTGTCTTCATATTTTCACGTTGTGCTGTCCTGAAGAGCTTCTGCTTTACAACTAATCTCTTGTGTAGCAGCCTGAGTGTTGGTAAAAAGTAATCAGCACACAAATCTACTGGATGCCAGCTCTGAAATACTTGATGCTTGCTTCAAGGAAGAAAGGCAGTATGTTATAATGCAGAAAAATTTAAGGAATTTGAGTCAAAAAGTAAGAAGAGGTTCAGAAACTAAAGGGCAGTACAGTTGAATTTGGGCTGATTATTTGATACAGCTGGGAGCTGTGTAGTGCAGCTGTTTAGCAATTTTAAAGTAGACAAGAACTCAAAAGCGATTTAACTAGTAGTGTTCACAGCTGCATGTGCCCTGTGTCCTCACTTTCCCTTGAGTCTAAGACTTTCCAGTCTGGAAATGTGACTTGGCATGTGTTAGTTATGTTCCAGTTGGAAAACACCCTCAGTAGAAAACACTTTCTCCTTTTCCCTTCAGTAGAAAAGTCTTTCATTGTAATCTTTGTGTGTTTTCCTAAGGCAGTGCACACCCCACTTGTAGAACTCTTCTCTGCTCTTTTAACCTGGGTGGAGGAAAAAAAATTCTCTCTGTGATCTCTGAACAGTTCACTGTTTGAAATACCTGCTGACCTTGGAGTTGGAGGAGGAAAGTAGTCAAAAAGTACCCCTGGAAAGAACTCTTAAAACCTTGTAGCAGAACTAATTAATGTGGAGACTAAAGCATATACTGCAGGCGTGTGGCAGTCCTGTGCATGGGATGGGGGAGAGGGCTCATCCATCCCTCCCTCCATCCTCTAGTGGGAGAGGCTTGTCTCATTGGTCAGCCTGACTTCACTGTGCACTTCTGTATGCCTAGAGTTTTGGTCAGTGATCTTGTCTCATCTTTATCCTCCTTCTCTGTGAAAGGTGCTGAACCAAACAGAGGATCATCGCCAAAGGGTTTTGCAGGCAGCTGCTAAAAATATCCGTGTCTGGTTCATCAAAGTGCGCAAGATGAAGGCCATCTACCATACCCTGAATCTGTGCAATATCGATGTGACACAGAAATGCTTGATTGCTGAAGTCTGGTGTCCCGTTGCTGACCTCGATTCTATCCAGTTTGCTCTCAGGAGAGGCACTGTGAGTAACTCTGTGCTGCTCCTGTCTGCTGCTGTTCAAGCAGACTATCAGCTGTTGGCAGGCACAGCGTGGATTAATTGATTTTTCCAAATTGTGAGTCTCTGAAAATCGTCCCTTTGGGCTGTTTGAATCGGTCCTCACAGAGGACAGTTTGTTTAATGTGCAGGAATCATGGCTTATAGATAAACTTTTTAACAAATACATTGTGTAAAGCTTTAAATTTAGGAAAATGCTGTAAGGGTAGGGCATTTTCCTGTGCTGAATTGTTTGGTACATTTAGTTAACCTGGCTGTGCTTTGTAGTCCTGTTGTTGGGATATATATACTGAAAGGAGCCATCCAGGACATTAGTAAGCTTGCTCTCTGCTCAAATAGGCAGATAATAGAGTTGGTGTTTGATGTTTTAAAAAAAGACAAACTCACTCTTGCATGAGTTTTCTTGTCTGCCCTGATCAGACAACGTTCATCCTTACTGCAAGTGCTTCTCCCGCTATACAAAGCGGAGAGCAGCAGAAACTTGGCAACCTTCCTCAGCTGCTCAAGTATATTGCTCATTGTGCAAACACACTACAAAAATGCAAGCTTATAGTTTTCCAGAGGCTGATGAGAAAGTTTTACTCTGTCACCCAGTGCTCTGAGGATGGGTTTTCTAATCTTTCTTTCTTTTTTTTTTTTTTTTTTTAAAAAAAAAAAAAACAAAAACCAAAAACGAAACAAAAAACAGGAGCACAGTGGATCTACTGTCCCATCTATTTTAAACAGGATGCAAACCAATCAGACCCCACCAACATACAACAAAACTAACAAGTTTACTTCTGGCTTTCAAAACATTGTTGATGCTTATGGAATTGGGACATATCGGGAAATAAATCCAGGTAAATTTATATTTACGAAAGTCTAAGATATCTATCTCAATTTTTTAGTCATGGTGGTTTTCTGTATTGTCTGTCCTGTGTGAAAATTTCTGTTAGAGTACTTAACACCTTTCCGAAGCAGAGGGAAAGCTTGGCAATTACATTGCTAAATTTCATAAATCGTACTGTAGTAAATGTGGGCTTACCCGAGTGCAGTGCGCTAGGAGTGTCATCTCTTTCTCTTACAGCACCGTATACAATCATTACCTTCCCGTTTCTGTTTGCTGTGATGTTTGGAGACTTTGGCCACGGAATCCTGATGACTCTGATTGCTGTCTGGATGGTGCTTAGGGAAAGTCGTATTCTGTCACAGAAGAGTGACAATGAGGTAAAGTGGCAGGTCATGCTGAGCTTTGCATTTAAAACGAAGAGCTGCAGCTTGGTTTACTTGCATCCTTCCCCCCTTGAGTTGACAATGCCCGTTACTCCCTACACTTGAAATTTGTGAAGCACACAGGCAGACTGGGAAGCCTGTAGACCACAGGCTGAGTAGCATAATTTCATGATAGTAGTGAGTTCCTTTGGTTTTCCTTTCGGATGTTTATAGGAAATTATTCCTTTTGGTTTGTTTTATCCTAGATGTTCAACATGGTTTTTAGCGGTCGATACATCATTCTGCTGATGGGACTGTTCTCCACTTACACAGGCCTTATTTACAATGACTGCTTCTCCAAGTCTCTTAATATGTTTGGTTCATCATGGAGTGTCCGGCCGATGTTCTCAAAAGGCAATTGGTCGTGAGTAAATAGTTGGTAACTAGATAAAGAGGGATAGTGATAAGCACGTGACTTGTTTTTCCCCATTGTCCTCCCAACGAAGGAAAACCAAAACTTCTGAACTCAGTCTCAAGTAGAATTGGAAGGGGGGTGTAAATGTGATATCTATCTATCAAGTTTCAAAGCAGCTTTTTGGTTTTTCCAGAAGACTTGTAAAGATGCAGTTTAGCACCTTTCTCCTCATAGACATAGCAGGATTCCTGTCCCCTGCAGCTTTCTGCCTTGTAACACTGATCAGGAAACAGGTTTGTTACTCTTTCAAGATAATCTTTAGGACCACACAGGAACCTTAAAGTTCCCTCGATTTGAGATATCCCTTGTGTTCGCAAGGGAAGAATGTTGTTAGTTTTTACAGAAAGAGGACAGCGTTGCTTGTGTTAATGTTTGTGTGATCTACTTATGCTCAGAGATGCCTTGCTAGAGAGTACTCCCCTGCTTCAGCTGAACCCTGCTATTCCGGGGGTGTTTGGTGGACCCTACCCCTTTGGCATTGACCCGGTAAGAGCTCTTCCTTCCTTTGCTGTCCTTTAAGAACATCCTGTGTCAACAGAACGAAAAGTGTCTGTCCAGTTCACTGGGAAAGATTTCCACAGCCCAGCTATTTCCCTAGCAAACTCTTTATCAATGGTGGAAATACTCTTGAACGATAAAATTCGTTCAGCTCCTATTGAGACGCTAGATTCAGGATAGAGAAACTTGTTTTCAGGTCCATTAAAGGTTTCTTTCTCACCGTTTCTAACCTGCAGCATTTTAATCAAATCTGGTTAGACTTGCTAATCACTTTATGAAATTATTTTTTACCTTGGGGAAAGTTAGTTATCTCTGTTTTTCAGTCAGTCTTGGAAATGTAAGTTTCCACATAATCATGTCATTTTGTATCTGCCTGCATCAAGAACACTGCTTCTCACACTGCCTAGAGTATTTTAGACAAAACTTGTGTGTGTGCCACAGTAAGGAGGAAGTGCAGAAAAACAGAACTATGTGTAATTGTTAATTTAAATGGGAATTTTTTTTTTTTTCTGTCACGGATACAACCCCTTTTTTGCTGCAACTTTAGCCTGCCATAAAAACAAACAAGGTTTGATTCTTGCTCTTATGGTGGGATCAGCTGCCATAAGACAGTGCTCCTGGCAGAAAGGGTTGTCTGCTCATTTCCCCAAAAGATATCCATGTAACAAACACATCTTTAAAAAAACCTGCTCTAACAGCCCAATACTTCCTGGACGGTTAACACTGTTTAGCTTAAAATGAACATTTTCATTCTCCTTTGTTTTTCTTTTACTCGGTGTTTGGCTGACTTAGTCTTGTTTTTCACAGATTTGGAATATTGCCAGCAATAAGCTAGCCTTCCTCAATTCATTTAAAATGAAAATGTCTGTGATTCTTGGCATTATCCACATGCTCTTTGGTGTCACATTGAGTCTTCTTAACCATATGTAAGTGCTTTGCTCTGTTTTTCTCATGGTGGAGGGGGAGCTTCTTTGGGGTGTGTTAGTTTAAAATGCAGGACACTGTCAGACTTTAACCTTCTGATTGAAGGGTGCGAGACAGCGGCTTCTGTCTGCGTAGGGAGAGCTGTGCCCATCCAGGGGTTGCTGTGTTTAGGTCCCAGCTGTTGAAATGCTGAGCCCCTGCAGTTTTGTTCCAAAGACTCTCTTCATGTTCTCATTAAAACCTTTTGACCTACATATGCCTAATGCTAACCAAATGTAATATTAAACTCTCTTCTTTTTTCCTGTAGCTATTTTAAGAAGCCACTGAACATATACCTTGGGTTCATTCCAGAAATTATTTTCATGTCATCACTGTTTGGATACCTTGTTATTCTCATTTTCTACAAATGGACAGCCTATGATGCTTACACTTCCAAGGATGCACCAAGCCTTTTAATACATTTTATCAACATGTTTCTGTTCTCCTACAGTGATACCAGTAATAAGATGCTTTATAAAGGGCAGGTGCGTGCTCTTGCTAGAATAAGATCAGAAATGCTTCATGATATTAGTCTTTCATTGATCTTAATAATGATTGTGAGATGAAGCGTATTTTTTTTCTCTCTGTTGTAGAGGAAATGTGGCATCATTTCCAAAGCCTGACACTGTGTAATGTTGAAGAAGGAAGGAATAACTCCTATACCAGGAGTTTATATCAGTCTGAACATAAGTCAGCTGTGGCTCCAGAACATTTGGATCCAGATTAATAGTGAAAAGTGATTAGGAATATTGTTGTGCATCTGCAATGTGGTGCCTCTAAGCTTAGCTAAGACACTAATGCCATTTCCTCCCAGCACTGTCAGACTTCTACCAAATTCTAGTTCCCTGCAGGATCTTTTGCATTTTTCCCTAATCTAAACCAGTATCAGCATTAGATGCTGTGTACAGTCAGATGGGGCAGCTGCAAGCAGGCAGTAAGTACAGCACATCTTGCTGCTCCCAGAAGAGAGGGGGATGGCGAAGTGTCCGTGTGCTCCGGGAATTCAGTCGTTCAGTGTTGCACAAGACCTCTTGCTAGGTTTTGTGCGCTTGCTTGAGCGTGGACTGCTACTAAATCATCTGAGACTTGTTTCTTTTACAGCAAGGGCTCCAGTGTTTCCTTGTGGTGGTGGCGTTACTGTGCGTGCCATGGATGCTGGTAGCTAAACCCCTGGTCCTTCGGCATCAGTATTTAAGGAGAAAGCACTTGGTGGGTGACTACCTCTTATTTTCAATATGAAAACATTATGGTTGAAAAGCAATGTTCTCCATCTTGATACGTAGGTTCACGCCACACTGTGACCTGTAAAACATTTTTTACGTATTCCTAGGCATAAAGGCAGGTGTGTTTTACTGGGGACAAAGTATTGCCTGCCTGATTCTCAGATCTGGATCCAGCATGTTGGTGGTGATAAAAACAACATCTCTGTCCTAGGCTTTGTCAGCTGGTTTAGGAACAGAGTCTTACTGGTTGCTGGATGCGCTTCTGTGCCTTCACTAGGCTGACAAAGTAAAAGAGATGGAAGCTTAATTGGCTGGCAGACTTATCAGCTATCTTTGTTAAAGCAGCTTGGACAGTAAAAAGTAGCAATTAAAAGGAGAAAAAGTAGACTTACACAGACATGATGTGAGAGGTTGTCTTCTGGGGTACTCTCTAGGTTCCCAACTGTACTGTAAAGTATCTTTATGTAAAATGCAGGAACCTGGCACACGTGCACTGGGGATGCTTGAAAATTCTCCCTGCATGTATGGCAGACAGCTTTTAGGATGTTAAGTGAGTCTAAAGATCAGTTCAGTTAAAGACACTCCCTCTCCCTTCTCTGACCATCTTTCATCCTCCCATGTCCCCTCCATTCGTCTCCCTTTCTCTTTTTGTTTTCTTCCTCCTCCCTTTCTTTTCTTCCATTCACTATCAGGAAGGGCAGCCCGTGGAGGCCCAAGTCAGCACAGTCCCGAACGAGCAGGCACTAGAGGCAGCAGCGGCTGCAACAGTGAGTGGATTTAAAAATCACCTGATGGATTTAAAGATGGGAGTTGGCTTTCTATCTAACTATCAAGAGAGCATGGAATGTATCTGAATTTGATAAGTGAATGACAACTGCACCTTTAGGGTGAAAAACACTTTCTCTTGGAAAGAGCAAAGTTCAGCAAAATTGATACATTCTGGAAGAGCTACCAGGCTGAAGGATAATAGTTATGTGTGCAGAGAGTGCAGACACTTCTTTGCAGGAGTGTTGCTGAAATCAAAACCTGCAGAGCAGCACAAGAATACCTTGCTACCACATCCCCCAGGTTAAGTTCCCCTTTTTTCCTTTTCTTGCATATTTGTTTAAGATAGATTAGGATTCTTCAGTGAAACATTTCTGTTTGCATTATGTGTTCCCAAACATCATGTTTATGTGATGGTCTTCCAACAACTTCATATCAGTAATTACTGGGTTTTTGACACCTGTACCCTTGTAGACACTTTGACTTGAAACTATTATAAAATAGTTGTGCACAAAAAAGCCTCTCAGTAGCAGTTGTTTCTATTTATTTGTGTCTAAACCTACAGACAGCTCTGTACTGCCAAAGCTTTTGGGCGGAGTGGCGATTGCAGCAGCTCCCAGAACTCGATCCCTTCCCCAGTAGTGCGTATGTCAGCTTGGGTTTAGTTGTGAATGCTGCCTGTCTGACTAGAAAGCGTAAATCTCTCAAACTGCAGGAAGCACACTGTGCACTCCACATGCCAAAGGTACTTTGAGGCACTTCTTAGCTGTTGGCCAGTGTTGCTATCGTGGCATTTTAAATAGCCTCATAGAAATGTCGGAAACGAAAATGGAGCTCTTGTGCATAATCCATCCAGCATGCTAAGTGCATCTCAGTACAAGAAGCTGTGAGGGAAGGTCTTTGTATAAGGTGTGGTTAGAAGTATAAAGTAAACAATTAGAGCTTTTGGAGCTGTGTTTAGGTTGGATAGTTTACAGAGAACGGATACAAGTTGAGTGAGAGGGAAGAGCTGCAAAAGTGCAAATTGACACAGGCTAGAAATACATAAATGGAATACTCATCATCAGTAACTTGTAAAGTTTCAAGGATGCTGAAAATCCTAATGAAAGCCTTGCCTTCATTTTTTTTTTCCATTTTATTTCTATTTTTACAGCATAAACATCTACCTAATTTTTTAAAAACCTGATGAAATTTTTAATTCACATCTGGCACTTTGGGCAAATTTATAGTTCAGGCTAAAATAAAAGTAGGCTTCTAAGAACAAATGAGTTAAAAGGCCAGTTAAAAGCAGCCATTCCACTGGCATGCTGGGGCGATGCGCTGTGGCAGTGGGCAGGTCCCGGGATCCTAAGCCTCCTTGGTTTGCACAGTCATCAGTCACCTTCTGGAGTCCTCACGTGTCGAGGTGCCGTGTCCACGTTCCGTGTCAGCGGTGGCCCCAGTACGGTGCTAGGGCTGAATGCAGGGCTTTTCTCTCCAGTGGTGGTGTTTCAGTTTGCCTCTCTAGGTGGGTCAGACTCACGGGTCTTATTCTGCAGTCCCTCAGATCAGGTGTGACCATTTTGTGTCTTTGGAGCATCTGGAGGGAGATAGAAGTCCCGCTGTACAGTGCACAGAGCTGCCTGCTGGACAGAAATGCAAAGGCAGTGATGTGCACGTTACACCTTCGTGCATTTACGATGCACAGAAGCTCTGCTTGAGGGCACTGTCAGGTGATCAGCAGATCTGTGCGTCCTTTCTTGGTGGTAGGACGTAGGGAGGTGTGGGTGGTAGGACAGTGGAAGGAAGCCTGCCATAAATCAGATGTTAACTGCAATGATTCCAGCTGTCAAGTGAGAGGAGCTCCTGACTCTTTCAAAGTTTCAGCTCAGTTTGTCGATTATGTTCTGTTTGAACTGCCGTGGAGTTACGGCTGAGGGTCAGATGTTGAATGTCACAACAAATGTCTATAAAAGGAACTGCTTGCACAACCTAGAATTTCCAAGTAAGGGAAAGTCTGATTTCCCATGTGTTAGTATGGCTGATGCTGGTGGGGAGCAAGTGCGTGTGTGTGTGTTTGTGTCAGTCCATCCTGCTTTGAGTTCCCACTCTGTTTCGTTTACACCAGCAGTGGGGTCTCAGTGCTTGGCCAGCAGCTGCTGGGCGGAACGTTGGTCTGTTGCACGTCGGTGCCAGCAAATGTCCTCTTGAGAGATGTGCCTTTTATTTTACTTAGGCTTGCAATGACTTTGTAGAAATGTGTCAATTATTCATTCAGACAGACTTTTTTTTCCCAGCCCTAGCAGGAATCAGCATCTTTCCCATCCAAGCTGGGAAATAGAATTGTACAGCTGGCTTAACCTGGGCCTTAATACTTAACGTTTTGTTTTCTTCTGTGAGCTGCTGCTGCATGTGGAGTCAGAAACATGTGCTTTTGCAGTAAAACACAAACAACACTTCGCTCTTTCTTTTTCTGCATGTTAGGGAACACACAACTTTGGTGGGATCCGGGTGGGCAACGGACCAACTGAGGAGGATGCTGAGATCATTCAACACGACCAGTTATCCACCCACTCCGAGGAGGGGGAAGAGGTAAGCAAGCGCCTGACCATCCTTGCTCTCAGGGCAACGTGCTTGGTCGCAGAACACGCTAGCGTTTCGGCTGTGTTCACTGATTTCTAAGCTATTTAAACAGCAACATTTTCAGTGAAGTGTTTTCACACAGACTAGCTCTTGGTCATTCCCAGGACTCCACAAAAAGCAGTATAATTGGCATATAAAGGGAAATGGGGCCGTCGGTCCCCATTAAAAGCCCCGTCACCGTAAGGGCTGCCCAGTGAGTGGCACGGTGCTGCCCGGCGCGGCGCAGTGCGCCTGGGCTGCCTGCTGCCCGAGTCTGCCGCGGCCCAGGGGCCGGCTGCCGCGCTTAGGTAGTCGTTTTGGCTGTCGGGGGTGATATTAACTGCTTTGCCTTGCCTCCGGTAGGGAAGAAAAAGGAGTTGGTCTCTGTAGTTTGGGAGTATTCTGACGCCTCTTAACAATTCTGCAGTGGTGTCTCGCCCCTGTAGTGCATGCGACATGTTACTGCTGTACTGTGTCATGCTTAGGAGGGAATTACTGAATGTGTTCATGATTAATGTTGTGATCCAGACACTGCACTAAATGTAAACTTATGTTTTCAAGCCTACAGAGGATGAGGTGGTAAGACTACAGCCAGCTTTGCGTTCATGTGTATCTGGACCATTTCCCATTGGTGTAAAACACATGCTGAATGAAACATGTTATGTCACGACACCTTGTTTTCCAAAAGATCTAGCTATTTACCTGTTACAGGCCATTTTTAATTCTTCATACATACGTGCCCATTAACAGATCTTTAATTACTTCATCTATACAGCTTGTTTGTCTTATCCCCTCTCTGCAGATCTTTCTTAGTTTACCTGGAAAGCTGTTAAGCTGGGAGTCTGAAACAGACAAGTTTTGCTTTTGAGCTTCTGAGGAAATAGTTCTGTTTGTGTTATGTTGTGTCTTTGGTAATTCTGCATTGTAACAAAGTATCTAAAGATATTTTTTTTCCCAAACTATCTGCAATTCTAAGGATGATACTGGTTGTTGGCAGTCAGCCAATACTGCAAAACCAGACCAGTTTCATACAGTTCAACACCTTAACTAACCAGTATCTTTCTGTAAAAGAGAAGCTCTGTTCTGAGAAACTGCTCATTCATAAACACTTGTAACAAGTATGAGTATTAAAGAAATGGTTTTTTAGGAATACTCATGCAGGATTGATTGTAGGTTTCAGCACTATCAGGTAACCAATTTTATTGCAAAAAATATAAATGCCATGAAATTAGAGTAGCTTCACAACAGTGATGCTGTTATAAATTGTGCTGAAGGTGGTTTTGCCCAGAGATCTGCTCTGCATAGGGCCATCTAGAATTGAGGGGGGCATGGAAACAATGTGCTGGTGTACCTGTTAATTCTATATGTCACTAAACATGGGAAAAACTTGTAAAACTATGAGTACTCTGCTGTAGAAATCCTTCTGATTCTCCCACTCCCTAGCAGAGTGGTAACTCTCTCCGGTAGTGGCACATAGCTGTAAATTGTCATTGTTTAAATATTTATCCCATTCCATTTACTGCAGACTGACTTGCCGTGTGTGCTGGGAGGTGGCACTGGTCACTGGGGCAGGCTTTATTAAAGAACTTTGCAGTTCATGTTCTGTGGAGAAAGAATTAGGCTTTTGACAGTTAATTTAATTTTAATTGTTTGAAATATTTACTGCCCTGGATATACAAGGGGAGAAATACGAATATAAATAGCTTTCCCTGCGTGCTTAGAGCATTAGTCACTTGATGTATTTAAAACATCATGTTCACATAACTTAAATATGAGCAGTTTCTGAAGGATGGATTAAATCCAAAATGTAGGGAATGCTTTCCCAAGCTGCAAAATAAGAAACTGTCCTACATGGCAGACTTCCTTATAAGTTCTTCTTTTATTATTTCAGAAAATTACCAAGACACAGAGACTTTGCCAATGAATGGTGCACAGATGTGACTTTTTTAAGATTGCTTTATGCATTATTTTTGCTTTCAAAAAGGGCAAGTTGGTACCTTGCAGAATGCTCTTGTTGATCCTGTAGCAAAGGTACATACACAGTATCAGTTTGGAATACTGTCTCACTTTTTGTAGCAGTACATAAAATTTACCAGTGAATTCATACGAATACCATCTTGTTGCTGAACAGTCTTTTCCTGGCAAAGTCCATGGCTGAATTTGAAATGTCTTACTTCCATATGCTAGAATGTGAACACAATCATATTCAAGCCTCAGCAATGAACTATCATTCTACAAAACCTAGCAAGTCAAGAGAATTCATTTTTCATTTATAAAACTGACATGCTAAACCAGGAGAAGACGGTATCAGTGTCTGACTTCAAACACAATGTCCTTGGTAATAGCACCAGGTAGCGTGCTCTTTCCCCGGCCAGCCAGCCCTTGCTGCTTGCAAGGCTCGCGCCTCTCCTCATTTTCTGTGTTCTCTTTGCAGTTTGACTTTGGCGATACTGTGGTGTACCAGGCTATCCACACCATCGAGTACTGCCTGGGGTGCATTTCAAACACTGCATCCTACTTGAGGCTCTGGGCGCTCAGCTTAGCCCACGCACGTGAGTATTGCTGATGGAACTGAGCTCTGGATCCGCGTGTCTGATCGCCCTGGGCGGGCGCTGGGCGAAAGGCAGGAGTGCAGTTAGCCTCTCGGAGCCCAGCTGCCAAGCCCTGCTGGAAGAGGACAGGGCTGCATGTGCGTTAGCTGGGAGTAATTCAGTCTCAATGCTGGTGTCTACTTGTATTGCGCTGTGCTAAAAGGGGGGGATGGAGCTGACAGCACAGAATAAAGCAAAGAGCTGCTGAGCAAGGCCTCTGCCCTGCACCGTGTGCAGCAGTTAGGCAATGTCCTGACATACTTGGCTGCAAAAGCTGTTGTCCCTCTTAAGTTTCTGACCTCGTTGTGGTGGGAGTTTGCTCGACTTCAGTTTTTACTTTACAAGTGAGCTGTAACAACCCTCCATTCTTGCCGAACGCTCTGGAATGAGCCCTCCTCTCCCCTTTCTCCCGGCAGAGCTCTCGGAGGTGCTCTGGACCATGGTGATCCACATTGGCCTCAGCGTGAGGAGTCTGGGGGGAGGCTTTGGCCTCTTCTTCATATTTGCTGCTTTTGCTACCCTGACAGTAGCAATTCTCCTGGTCATGGAGGGGCTGTCTGCTTTTCTCCATGCTCTTCGCTTGCACTGGTGAGTTACTGGAACGTGCAGAAACTTCAAAGCTCTTGATAGCAAAAAAATTGATGTCCCCTGGGCTGCGCAGAAATGCCATCTTCTAGAAAATTGTATTGACCCTTACACAGGAAAGCTAAAGCTGTAAAATTGGGGTAGTGAATAATATTGAGCCAAGATCAGCAATGTTCAGAAGCACCAGAGTACCATAAATCTACCTAAACATCTAAATGTCCTGCAGTAGATGTGCTCTGACAGCAGAAAGTCTTTAAAAGGGTCAGAGCCTTCAGTCTTGTTTCTAGTGATACACCACTCTCTCCTGATCGTATGCGCAAACGTTGCTTAGAGTTGTGGAGAGTAACTGATCTCTGCTTAAAAATGAGATAGACTAAAGCTTTATGAAGAGTGGTGTGGGAGGGTTGTGCTAGATGGATGAGTGTGCTTGTGGCTTTCAGTAGGACTTGCTGGTTCTGTCTTTTGGTCTTTTGCCTGGTTCTAATGTTTGTTTTCCTTAGTGTGCAATAGCTGCTCATTGCAGTTTCCTTCACGTGGTCTCGTTCATTTTTGTAAGACCTTGCATTGAGCAGGGGCAGCTCTGCCCGTCTGCCCTGTGGGTGCTGCCCAGTGGTAGCTGTTTCTTGCTGGTCTTGCTCATTGGCAGATGCTTTTGTAGCCCCTTTCCCGTGATTATTCAGCTCCTGCATATGCAGACAGCCAGATAACAAGGAATTACTCGCTGGAGTGCTCGTCGCTTTCTCTGCTCCCAAGCATGGAAAGTATTCAAGAGCTTTCTCTAATCTGTATTTTAGAGTGCTCATTGTTCCACTTCAGATTCTCAGGTTAGTGCACTGGTGGGATCACAGGAGCAATGTGGGAATGGGTTTTGCTCACCTAGGGTTCTCTTCAGCCTGAAGTGTAGGAGAGTATGTCTGTGCCTCTGCAGAGTTCAGGTCGCTGCCATCTCTTAAGGCAGCTTCTTTCCTGGTAGGTCAAGAGAGCAAAGTGAAGTCCCAGGAAGTTCACAAGGAATATTCTGCCTTAAATGGGAAGAAAAGGTTGTGAGCACTTTTAAAAAGTAGTTCCGGAAGTGCAAAAGGAAGCCAGGGCATTTTAAAAATAAAAGGGGGTGGGGGGGAAGAAAACGAGCCTTTTTGCACTTTTCCCCTGCTCCTGTGAAGAAGAGCTTTGTCCTTTTGCCCTCCCGTCGGCAGCCGGCGGGGCGCAGGCCGCCGTGTCCTGGCGTGCCTGGGCCTCCGCAGCCCAGGCGACTCACTTCAGCGGCGTTCAGTGTGGCCATCTTGTGCCGAGGGAGCTGGGGGGTTGCTGCTGGAAATGGCTGCTGGATGGTGCTTCTGTTTTTCCTGGCATCCAGCCTAGAAATCTTCATACCAGTCACTTGAGAACTTCTTGCTGACTGGCTGGTGTTTCCTCATCCTGCTGTCACTGTACCACGCCGTTGCATCAGTGTGAAAGAAGGAGCTCTGCAAACCCTGCCTGGTGTTACTGCTAGCAGTCCGAGGAGAGCAGAGAGTGACCAGTGCTCTGACTCTATACGTGCTGGGTTTGATCTGCAGTTGCTTGTGAATTAGTGCGTTTTCAAAGTCTTGCTTCTCTGGACGGCAGTACTGCCTGGCCCATTTCTGAACAATAGCAGATGAACAGTTCTGAACAGCTTTTCTTCTTGGCAGGCTCTGTGTTTCCTTTTTTACCCGAGGGGATGGGCTAAGATAAGAAAGCATATGTTTTTCTGGAGATACCTGTCTGGTATTAATAACCACAAACTGCACTTCCAGATACCACTCAGCACCTGGAACAAGCGTGAGCTGAAGGTTGCAGTTCAGCCAAGAGGTGGCTTTTCACATTGCCAGGCTACTTCTAAAGGGTGATTAAAAAACTGTCTGGAAATGTGTCGGGGGAAGACGCATGTCACTGAAATGGCAAGCAGAGAAACCCAGCTGGGCGATAGCAGTAAGCACATGGATCCCTGCTGCCGTGCAGACCAGTGCGGGGCACTTGGGGGGGAGCTGTGGAACTGAAGCAACTTAATGAAGTAATATTCTCCCCAAACATGTTTCAAACTTGTAAAACTTCAAAATACATTCTCCAAGAGAAAATCTGTGCAAACTTAGAGCCTGAAAAGCAAGTTTAAGGCAGTTGTTTCAGACTGCAAGTAATCTGCTGAAATTATTTTGCATTTGTTAGATTTTCATTATCACAGTAGGGAGGAAGGCACCTGCAGTTGTTCAGAAGAACATACTGTTAACATTCCTTTTTGCTTCTGAACGCAAAATCAGGATGTTTCCAATGGTAGGTGTTCCCATTTTAGAAGAAGGGAGGGAGGGTCAAATATAGCTGTCCTGGCAGGAGCAGTCTGGATTTTCTGGCTGTGGGAGAAGAGTCACCTACCAGGAATTCTGAAGGTGTGGGTGGTTCAGCCTTCCTGGAAAGGAGGAGGAATTCAGCATGTGTCTTTCTGGTGGGGAAAAAAGCACGGATTGTTCCATGTGCTGTGCCTATCAGTCCCAAATGAGGAAGATTTATTTCGTGCTTTTCCAGAAAGTATGCATTCTTTCAGCAGGCTAGGCTTTTCTGGGGTGGAGGAGTGCTGCCGAGATTGCCGGCCTGTGTACCGGCGCTCTGCTGGGGCTCGGCCCCTGTCTGAGCTGCACCCCACGTTGTGCTGTTGACTCCTTTTACTGTGACATCGCTGTTCGGAGATATTCAACCTTTCTATTTGCTTTTCAGTAGTGCAATTTGACATGAATGTTTAGAATAAAGTAGCTTACCTTTTTTTAAGCTAGTCAGCTCTTCTAATGTGAGCAAACATAGACTTTGCCCAAAAGGAGAGGTTTGTGACTGGATTCAAAGTAAGGTCCCAGCATCATGGGTTGATGCAGGAGTGTGGTTTCAGTGGAGCTGTTTTCCTGTGTAAGGCAGTATTTTAGGCTCAGTTTCGGGCCTGATTTGGAACTGGAAGCTGTTCTCCCTGGAACATGTCCCCAGAGCAGGCCACAGCTAGAAAGCATGGATAGCAGTAGGTGTAATACAAAGCGGATCAGGTTAATTCCGAGCAGTGAGGAATGGGGTTTGTATTGCTCTGTATGCGAGAGGTTGGTGCTAAATGAGCATCGTGACGTAGGGGGTTCAGTCCCAGCTCGAGAAGCCAAACCGTGTGGTCCAGACTTGGCTTTGGTTACCCAAGTGTCCCTCAGCCAGCCGCCCACCCTTGCTCCGTGTCCATCGGTGTGGGGGGCACGGGTCCTGGCCATCCAGGACTGCAGGTTTGGCAGAGAGCTGTGTTTGTCTGCTCTCTCCCTCAGGTGTAGCAGCAGCAGCCCCTTTCATCGTGGCCATACTTGAGACAGACGTAAATGTGATTTTTCTGTATCGTGGGTTGCCTAAGTGGTTTGCCACTGGTCGGTGAACATCGCCGGTGTGAGCCCAGCCCCTTGGAGGCGCTGAAGCAGACGCGAGGCAGCGCGCTCGGCCGGGCAGCGGGGAGCTCAGCCGGGGTCCGTTGTGTTCCGAACGGCGACGCTGGAGCGTGCTGGGGGCCTGCACAGGGACGCCGGAGCAGATTGCAAACACAAGTGTTGGCCGACTTAAGCAACCGTGCGGGATAAATAAAAAGCAGCGGTTACGCGGCGCCGGGCGGCTGCTCTGGGCTGCAAGCTGAGATGGGGCGGGCGGCCCCGCCGCGGCCGCCCGAGGGGGAGTGCTGCTCTGCCAGAGGCGTGGGCCCGCGGGCCTCGCACCCCGCTCGCCAGCCAGCGAGCAGCAGCGGCAGCCCTGGAGCCCGGCTCCCCCCCCGCTTGCCAGAACCTTATTTTTCTTTGTAAAGGTCACGAGCCAGAGCTGGTCTCTAGTGCGACCGTAAGCGCGCGCTGCTGCTCTAAAAGGCAGGCTGCTGCTCTAAAAGGCAGGCTGCTGCTCTAAAAGGCAGGCTGCTGCTCTAAAAGGAAGGCAGGCTGCTGCAGGCGCAGGGCGGAACGACCCCCGGGCACCACACGCCAACCTGCTGCCCTTTTTGGGAAGGAGTAGCTGCCACCACCTCTGCACAAACACCCCCCCGCCCTGGCCCTGAGGAGCGCGGTGGGCTGCCCGCCTCGAGGCGCGCCCGGCGTGGCAGCCCACCCCCGGCACGGGCACGCACTGGCGAGAGCACAGAGACCAAGTGGGAATCTGCACTTGCGTGAAGTGAAGGTCAGGGCTCCGGTGCAGCAACTGCCCCTGCGGTTGGTTCCCACGGGACCGCGAGCTGCCTCGTTTTCCAGACAGCCTGGGTCCTCTGCGTCTCTGCTGGGTTGGCAGATCCGCACAGCTACAGTCCAACAAACACTGAAGCTAATCATCAGTACAAAAAAGCTGAAGAGTGGATTTTCTTTAACGCTGACCACCAGAAAGCTTTCTGGTCCGTTTATTTAGAGTGCAGTGCTAACTGTCTAGTAAATTTTTCTGCAGAACTTGATCGCTGGTGGGAGAAACACAGTGCAAAGTTTAGCAGTAGGGCTGGTACACATGACAGCCCGTGATCCTAGAAACAGCAGTGCCTCAGGCTAAAAAAGGACCTTGGATTCTGGGTGTTCCTGTAGGCAGTTGCAGAAAAAACACACAGAACTTTTAAGCCCTGATCATTTGGTTAAACAGGCTTCTTCACTAGTTCCCTAACCTTACAACAGCCTCTCCTTGAGCTTCAGGCATCCAGTTGTGGCCAGTTGTAACTGAGTGTGTCCAAAAGGAGCTTTCAGATGTCAGGGCCAGCTGGGACAGTTAATCATCGGGGTTAAAATTTCATTTACAGTGGGTTCTGTGTGACTCAGATACCCAACCCTCTGCCTCTTATTTCCCTTTGCTTACAGAATAGTTACTTAGTCACAGGATACTTACGGAGATTATCAGGGTTCCTGAAAAACTGGAGCATGTTGGCAAGGAGCCCTTCCTCCCACACGGAAAATCCTGCTCATCCTAGGGATTCCTCTGCAGGGAAGTCTGCGTATCTGCGTGAACAGGCAGCAGAAGATAGGAGCAGAAAGCTGTTTTTCTGACCTCTTCCCTCCCGAGCTCTGTTGGGAAATCAGCTTTTTGCCAGCTGAAATACCAGCATCCCTGGAGTTTGCTGTGATTCCTGATTGGGAAAGAAATAATTCGAGTCTACCTTTTTGTGCTTCATAAAAATACTTGAATTGTGTTAAATTGCTCTACAACTTGCTGTCACTTGATTCCTTCAGAGACTTTGGGGTTTTTTTAGTGGATCACGCAATGGAAAGTGTTTCTCATGAGGCTCATGAAACACTGTGCTTGTTTTTACTGTGAATCATGGGATTATTTTTTTCCTTCCCTATTTGGCTGTTGCTGACCACTGGACAGTACTCTAGAATAATTCTTTTTTTTTAACTGAATTTATTAGGGGAAGCAGGCAAACAAGGCTAAGTTAATGTTCAGCTGGAGACAACAGGCACATCTCTAGCTCAGCAGTAGTCATGTGGGGATAAACCAAGTATGTTTAAGTAAATAAACAAAAATAGCTGATGGAGGAAGTCTGAGCACAGTATCATGCGATTTGAGGTTTGTTCTAAATAAAATTTGAACTTTAGTAATAAGATCTCATAGGAAATGCTCTGTGCTCCTAGGTGCTTCTAAGTGTTGCCGCAGTTAGGGAGTTTGTCCTGTTTTTGTTGCCCTTCTATTGCCTGGTCGAAGTACCTGGACAGTTCTCTGCCCTGCTAGAGAAGTATCAAACAAGAGGTGGGGTTTGTGCCAAAAGGTACGCTACAGTATAATACCACTTTTTAAAGTTGGGGGGTTTTTTATAGTCAACAATCGTTCTTTTAAGGGAGTTCTTGCTAATTGCTAACTCATCCGAGAGTTGCCTTTTTAATGAACAATCACTCTTCCCTCTCCTGCAGGATTGAGTTCCAGAACAAGTTCTACACTGGCACTGGATTCAAGTTTCTCCCTTTCTCCTTTGATACCATCCGTGAGGGGCGGTTCGACGACTGAAGGTCCCTCTGCTCAAGCAGTGTTAAACGTCCTGTGTTTGTGGCTAGTCCTCTCCCATGTGTCTGAGTTGCATGTAATCCTCCCATAGTGGAAATAACTTATTGCAGCACCCTCGAGTCTTACCAAAGCCAAGAGCTTTGACATTCTCGGGTAATGAGTGACACTGGATCAAAGAAACTTTTTATTCCTTAAGTTTACCACTGAAGATATTAAGTGCATGAAGTGTCTTGAGTTTGGTGTGTAATAGTGTACTTGTCGTGTTGTGAATTCCCTGGCAGGCTTATCAGGGCAGTATGAGAGAAACGCAGCTATGGCTGAGTGGGCACACAAGCACATGGAGAAAAGGCATAACACCTTCAGCTTGCACAAAGCTTGCTGCTCAGGAAGAGAATTTTTTTTTTTTTTTAAAGAAAGTTTTACATGTGGTTCCCATGTGTCTCTGCCTCTAATGAAGCAAATTCTAAGCAGTGGGCAGTTGACAGTCCAGGGCATGCAAGAAGGGCTGTTCCTTTCCTCCCTGGAGAAGAGCTACTCCTTTAACTGGACACTTGCACACTCCCATCCCAGGCAGAGCTCTGCAGCAGGGAACGCCGGCTCCACCTGGGCGGTGGTGGGAGCAGGGGGCCTGGCTGCCTCGCTGCGGCCTGGGGCGAGATCACGAGGGATGAGCTGTGGCGTGAACTGTCCTCTCAGGTACTGACCACTGGCAGGGGAACTTGCTGGATTTCTTGTTTAAAAATGAAGCCCTGAGGCTGCAAAGCCCTAGAGGCACATCCAGATATGCCTGTGTAGACTTGGCATCAGCAGAGGCAGCTTTTGCAAAGGTGCAGGTCCTAGTGACGGATGTTGTCACATATGTTTGGAGTCTAAGGAGCCCTTTAAGGGAGAACAGAGGCTGAATCTTGCCAAAGTAGTCTCACGGCAGTGGAGTCTTGGTGGTATTTCCTTGTGGTAGCTGTTGCTTTTTCCCTTGTGTAAGATGTGAGCAATTCCTTGCCCTCAACTCGATGTAGCTGTGGGAGCAGTGGGGTGTGTGCATGTGTTAGTGCTGTGTGTAACTCGTCTTTTAACTCCTGCAGTGGATCTGAAGTATTTGTGTATAAGCAGATTAGAACAATAATGAGAATCATTGTAGCCTGGAACCGAGGAGGAAATGCCACAGGGTGCAGGGCTGTTTAAAATCATGTGAGAAAGGTGTGTGTGCACTGCACGCTGCAGCGGCGCGGGGCTGCTCGTGCTGCACGTGGCAGCTTCTGGGCAATGGCTGTTTGCAGGGGGACGTGGCTGGATGTTTACAATGGTGTTTGCAGAGGGAGAGATGAAATCAAACCGTGTCTGCGGGTGGAGCAGTGACACCAGTCCTGCTGCCCGGGTGAAATGCATTGCTGACAGTCGCTGTATAAATTAAACTAACTGCACGACGAGCGGTGTGGTCTTTTGTCTGGTTTCCCTGTGGTCCCTGCAGGGCGCTCCAGGGCAGCCCCCCCTTCCCTGTCCGACACGGGGCAGAGCCCCGAAAGCTGGCTGGGGGGAGCAGGGACCTTCAGCCTTCCAGCCCTGGGATCCTGTCACCTTGAGGGCCGGCACGACGGACGGGGTGGGCAGAGCTGCTCTGTAAAACGAGACCAGCGTGGCCGAGCCGGGGCTGAAATGTCTCTGTGCTTATCAAGCCCCAGCTGCCGGCCGGGGCCGCGCAGGGGCTGGTTTGGCCTGGAGCCTCCTGCCTGCCCCGAGAAACCCACCACCCGCGTGAAACCAGCAGTTACGCGGGAGGAAAAACGAAGGCTTGACTAACCCTGGGTGGCGGGGGTGCCCTTTGACAGGGACTGGAGCAAACAGGCCCCCCCCCCCCCCGTGGGGACCCCCCTCCCCACCCCGCAGGGCCGTGTTTACTCAGGCCTTTCCTGCGGGGCCTGGAGCTGCCCGGGGGGGTTTCCACATGTGCGGAAGGGAGGTTTCTCTGGGCGCTTGGTTGGCGATTGTGTTTTTGAGGTTGCTGCAGCCCGGTGTGTTTCCCCCTCCTGCTGCCTGGGGGAGGAGGGGGAGCTGGAGGGCACCCAGCCCTTGTCCCCCTGCACCCCGCAGCTGAGGGGTCGGCCCCCCCCCCCGCTGCTGCAGGTGCCAGCTGTGGCCAGGGGCTGCTCTCCCCTTTCGCCCCTCGCCCTGCTCTCTTGCAGCACTCCCCGGTGCAATCGCAGCATTTCTGCCCGTTGCCCTGGCTCTGCTCGGCCCATGTCACCGCCCCGGGGCCCAGGGGCAGCCCCCGCTGCTGGCAGGCTGGGCAGGAGCCCCCGGCCCCCTCTGCGGGCTGGGCTGGGGGGTCTCGGCCCCGCTGCAGTGCACCCCTCAGCTCGTCCTTCCCTTCTGCACCCGAAGAGGTGGGGTGGCTGCCCCTGCACCCAGGCTCTGTCCCGGGACGTGCCCACGGAGCCCCCCCGGAGCCGAGGGAGACCCTGGGGCGAGCCCCTGCCCCCCGCTGCCCGAGGGGGGGGGTGTCACCTTCGTGCCCCCCGGCCGCGCTGCGGGACCTCTCCCCGCTGCCGCCGTTCGCCGTTTCCCCGGCTGGGCCCGAGGGTGCGAACCTGCGGCGGGGGGCGGCGGCCCCTCGGGGTTCCCCCCCCCCCACAGCCCCGGGGGGCTGCGCCCGCCGCGGCGCGGAGCACCCGCCTGCCTGCGCCGGGGCTCGGGGGGTGCGGGGGGTACGGGGGAGGCTCGGGGGGTGCGGGGGAGGCTCGGGGGGCTCAGGGGGGGCCGGTCCCGGGCGGCTGCGGGGCGGGGGGGGAAGGGCCGTGCCCCTCCCCGGTCTCGCAGCGCCCCCTTCAGGCCCGAGCGGCCCCCGCGCGCGTCTCGGTCGGTCCCGGGAGCCCGGAGCCGGGCAGCGCCGCCCCCCCCCGCGCTGGCGGGTGCTCCGGGACCGTCGCGGCCCGGTTCGCCCCGCGGGTGCGGAGCGGTGGCGGGTGGGAAAACGCGATAGGAAAACGGCCCGGCGCTGCCCCTGCCCGGGCCCCCGGAGCGGGCGGGGAAGGGAACGCAGTGCCCCCGCCTGCTGCGCCCCGGGGCCTCCGGGACCCGCCCGCGGAAGCGGCGCCGCTGCCGGTCCCGCCTCGCGCCCCGCCCCCCGCCGTCTCCCGGGGCCGGCGGCGCCGCGGCGGGAGCGGGGAGCGGGGATGGCGGCGCGGCGGGGCCCGGTGGGGCTGTGCCGGGGGGCGGTGGGGCGGTGCCGGGGGCCGGTGGGGCTGTGCCGGGGGCCGGTGGGGCTGTGCCGGGGGCCGGTGGGGCTGTGCCGGGGCCCGGCGGGGCGGTGCCGGGGGCCGGCGGGGCTGTGCCGGGGCCCGGCGGGGCGGTGCCGGGGGCCGGTGGGGCGGTGCCGGGGCCCGGTGGGGCTGTGCCGGGGGCCGGTGGGGCTGTGCTGGGGGGCGCTGGCGCTGCTGCTGCTGCTGCCGCCGGTGCGGGCGGGCGCGGCGGACGCGCGGCAGGAGGCGGCGGTGCGCGCGCTGGCGCGGCGCCTGCTGGGCCCGCGCGCCGCCGCTGTGTCGCTGTCGGTGCGGGCGGCGGCGGCGGCCCCGGGCGGCCCCGACACCTACCGGCTGCGGTCGCCGCCCGGCGCCGCCGTGGCCGTGGCCGTGACGGGCTCCAGCGGCGTGGCGGCGGCCGCCGGCCTGTACCGCTACCTGCGCGACTTCTGCGGCTGCCACCTCTCGTGGTCCGGCGCGCAGCTCCGCCTGCCCGACCCGCTGCCGCGGCTGCCGGCCGAGATCCGCGCCTCGGCCCCCGGCAGGTAACGGCGCCGCCCCGGGGCTCGGGGCGCCGCTCCCGCCCGGTCGCCCCGGGACGAGGGAGCGGGAACGGGGAGGGGGCGCAGCCCGCAGCCCGCCGCCCGCTCCCCCCGCAGGTACCGCTACTACCAGAACGCCTGCGCCCAGAGCTACTCCTACGCCTGGTGGGACTGGGAGCGCTGGGAGCGGGAGATCGACTGGATGGCGCTCAGCGGCATCAACCTGGCGCTGGCCTTCGTGGGGCAGGAGGCGGCCTGGCAGCGGGTTGAGTATGGGGGCGACCGGGCGGGGCCGGGGGGTGGCCGCGGGGCCGGCTGAGCCCCCGCCGCCCCGCGCAGGTGTACCGGTCCCTGGGGCTGAACCAGTCCGAGATCGACGCCTATTTCACGGGACCAGCGTTCCTGGCCTGGAACCGGATGGGGAACCTCCACGGCTGGGCAGGGCCGCTGCCACCCGCCTGGCACCTCGGGCAGCTTTACCTGCAGGTACCGGGGGCACCGGGGCTGCCGCATGCCACCCCCTGCCCTGGTCCTCCAGGCCCAGACCACGCTCAGAGAGGCTGGGGGGCCGCCGCTCCCTTCCCCGAGCTCCAGCAGCTCCCAGGGGCTCCTCGCAGGGAGGTGGGGGCTCTTCTCCCCCCGCTCCCCCCCTCCTTCTCTCTCTCCCAGTACCGGATCGTGGAGAGGATGCGCTCGCTGGGGATGGTCACGGTGCTGCCGGCCTTCGCAGGCCACGTGCCCCAGGGGATTCTTCGGTAGGTGCAGCCCCCCCACCCCACCCCGTGCTCACAGACCCCCCCAGGGCTGATCAGCCCTGGCCGCAGCCCTGGGCCCGCCGGCACGGGTGCTCCTGCCCTGCTCCCCATCCCCACCTCTGCCTTCTGGCGCAGGGTCTTCCCGCACGTGAATGCCACTCGCCTTGGGGGCTGGAGCCACTTCGACTGCACCTACTCCTGTACCTACCTGCTGGACCCGGAGGACCCCATGTTCCAGGTGATCGGGACCCTCTTCCTGAAGGAGCTGATCAAGGAGTTTGGCACAGACCACGTCTACAGCGCTGACACCTTCAACGAGATGACCCCCCTCTCCTCTGACCCTGCCTATCTCTCGAGGGTCAGCAACGCTGTCTTCAGGTCGATGGCGGGAGGTGGGTCAGTGTGGGGTGCCGGCGTGGGGTGCCGGCCCGGTCGCGGGGCTCTAGGTGGGGATAGCTGAGGGCCGGGGAGGGGGAGGTGGCTGTGGCCCCCACGCAAGCGCTGAGCTGCCCGTGCTCGGCAACCTCGTGGGTGCCAGAGCCTCCAAGCCCCCTCTGAGCGGGGCGGTTGGTGGGCCTGGGGCCTCACGGGTCGCCCGCGGGGGCTGCCCGGAGGGGTCCTCACCCCCCGCACCTCTGTCCCCAGCCGACCCCGAGGCGCTGTGGCTGATGCAGGGCTGGCTCTTCCAGCATCAGCCCGACTTCTGGCAGCCGGCGCAGGTGCGGGCCCTGCTGCGTGGCGTGCCCCTCGGCAGGATGATCGTTCTCGACCTCTTCGCTGAGTCCAAGCCCGTCTACCAGTGGACAGAGTCTTTCTACGGGCAGCCCTTCATCTGGTGCATGCTGCACAACTTTGGGGGCAACCACGGCCTCTTCGGCACCGTGGAGGCCATCAACCAGGGCCCCTTTGCGGCTCGCCGCTTCCCCAACTCCACCATGGTGGGCACCGGGTTGGCGCCCGAGGGCATCGAGCAGAACGACATGGTCTACGAGCTGATGAACGAGCTGGGCTGGCGCCAGGAGCCCCTCGACCTGCCCAGCTGGGTGACCCGCTACGCCGAGCGCCGCTACGGTGCCCGAAATGCCGCCGCAGCCGGCGCCTGGCGGCTGCTCCTCCGCAGCGTGTACAACTGCACCGGCGCCTGCGTCAACCACAACCGCAGCCCGCTGGTGCGCCGGCCCTCCCTGCACATGGACACCGAGCTGTGGTACAACGCCAGCGACGTGTACGAGGCCTGGCGCCTGCTGCTGAGCGCCAGCGCCGAGCTGGGCGCCAGCCCCACCTTCCGCTACGACCTGGTGGACGTTACGCGGCAGGCGGCTCAGCAGCTGGTGAGCGGCTACTACCAGAGCATCCGCCGGGCCTTCCAGAGCCACGCGCTGCCGGAGCTGCTGACGGCCGGCGGCGTGCTGGTCTACGACCTGCTGCCGGAGCTGGACCGGCTCCTCTCCAGCCACGGCCTCTTCCTGCTGGGCCGCTGGCTGGAGAGCGCCCGTGCCATGGCCACCAGCGACCGGGAGGCCGAGCAGTACGAGCTGAACGCCCGGAACCAGGTGACGCTGTGGGGACCCAGCGGGAACATCCTGGACTACGCCAACAAGCAGCTGGGGGGGCTGGTGCTGGACTACTACAGCGTGCGCTGGAGCCTCTTCGTCTCCGCCTTGGTGGAGAGCCTCAACTCGGGCAGCCCCTTCCACCAGGACCAGTTCAACCAGGCCGTCTTCCAGGTGGAGAGGGGTTTTGTCTACAACAAGAAGCGCTACCCGGCCGTGCCGGCTGGGGACACGCTGGAGATCTCTAGAAAGCTGTTCCTCAAATACTACCCCAGCACCCTGCGGCGCAGCCGCGCTGGGCCGGCGTGACCTCGGGCTGTGCCGCCGGAGCCTCCCCGGGGGGGGAGGGCAGAGACCCCGCGCCCTCCCGCAGCTCCCGGCCGTGCTGGAATGAAGGCGCAGACCCCGGCAGCCCCCACCCAGCCTGGACCCACCATTTCCCCAATTTGTGCAGGATGTGCCCCGAGGGGGGGCTGGCAGCTGGACGGGGGGCACGTTCTGCCCCAGGGACCCATCCTGCGCTGTGCTCAGCCCCGCCGGGCTGCCCTGAGCCTGTCCCCGGGAAAGCCGGGCAGCCCCAGGCGTGGGTCCGGCGGCGAGGGCTCTGTTGCCCCAGTGCTCCCAGCTGGCAGCTTGGCTGGAGCTGGGACTGTGCAGGGGGACCTGGCACCCCTGTCCCTGCCGCGGGGCCCTGGCTGGCTGGCGGGGGCAGTGGTGGTGGAGAAGCAGCCAGGGAGGTGGGGCGGGGGGGGGGTCAGAGCAGCCCCTGCCCCAGGGGAGGTGGGGAACCGGCCTCGTCCCTGGTGTGGTCCCAGACTCCCGTGCCCCTGGACCCTGGTGCCTGTGGGCACCCACTGTTCCACAGCCCCGGCCACATTTGGTGCCTTTTTCATCAAAAGAGACTTTGTGGAGTTTTTGGTGGTGTTGCTGGGGCTGCGCTCCCCCAGGCTGGGCTTTCTGGGCCTTGCCCCAGCAGCTGGGGCTCAGGCAGAGCCCGGCTGCGGTGCTGCCAGCCTGCGGAGCGACTAAAGGCCTGCCTGCTGAGCACTCTTCTCCCGTGTGTGTCCATCCCCTCTGTCCCCAGCGCGGGACTTGGGCAAAATGGGGGGGGCAGAGCAGCGGCGCTGGGCCCCGAGCCTGCACAGCGGGAAAAACGCGCTGCCAGATGCGTGCCGGGGCGCCTGGCACGGCACGGCACGGCACAGCACGGCTGGTGCTGGCCCCGGGTGGTGCTGACCCCCAGCACTCTCCTTGCGCCCCAGAGCCTCCTCCCGCGGGGGGTTCCTGGCTCAGAGGGGTCTTTATCAGGGCAGCTGCGCCAGCATCAAAGGCGCGGGGAGCCCGGAGGCGGGTGGAGGGGCCTTGAGATAAGGCGTCAGACACAACACCTGTGGCGTGGGGTGGGGGCAACCCCCCGCCCAGCCCTCTTAAACAGCGTGGCCCCCTCAGCCGGCACTGCCTGCCCATGGAGAAAACCACGGTGCTGATCACGGGCTGCTCCTCGGGCATCGGGCTGGGGCTGGCCGCGCGCCTGGCAGCCGATGCCGCCGGCAGGTTCAAAGGTAAAAAAAAAAGGGGTGATGCTGTGCCGGGGGCTCAGCACCCCCGGGGGGTCTCCTGGGCTGGGCCAGGCAGTGCCTCTCCGAGGTGGTGCGGGGCAGGGGGTGGGCTGGGGCCGGCGCTGGGCGAGCAGCTTGCCGGCACCGGTGCCCCGCGGCCACGTCTCTCCCCCCCAGTGTACGCCACCATGCGTGACCTGGCCAAGGGTGAGCGGCTGCGGGAGCGCCTCGGGGGCCGCTGCCCCGACACGCTGGAGGTCCTGCAGCTCGACGTCACCGACCCGCGCTCGCTGGCAGCTGCCGCGCAGCGGGTGCAGGGGCAGCGGCTGGACGTGCTGGGTACGGCTCTTCCCCACTGTCCCCGGGGTGGCTGGCGGCGGGGGGAACCTCTGCGGGGTCACTGGCCCTCCCCAGGGCACTGGGAGCAGATGCCAGATCCTGGGGTTGGGATGGGATGTGTTCGGCAGGGCAGGGGTGCGGGAGCTAGGTTTGGGGGTGCCGAGGGTCACTGGCCCAGCAACAGGGAAGGGAAGGGCCCCCACGTTCCTGCCTTCGGGCACTACGGTGCCAGGGAGTGCGAGGGGGGGGCTGCGGTGTCTGGCTCACCGGGGCTGTGCCCAGCAGTCTGCAACGCGGGGGTGGGACTGATGGGCCCCCTGGAGACCTGCTCCGACCAGGCCATGAGGACCCTCTTCGACGTGAATTTCTTTGGGGCCGTCCGCACCATCCAGGCGTTCCTGCCCGCCATGAAGCGCCGCAGGGCCGGGCGGATCATCGTCTCCAGCAGCATCGGGGGGCTGCAAGGTAGGACCTGGCCCTGCTGCGGCGGGACCCCCGGCACCCTGTGGCACGGGGAGCCATGGGGAAGGGACCCGGTGCTCAGAGTGCGGCTCTGCCCCAGGGCTGCCCTTCAACTCCGTGTACTGCGCCAGCAAGTTTGCGGTGGAGGGGCTGTGCGAGAGCCTGGCCATCGTCCTGCGGCCCTTCAACATCCAGTGAGTGCCGGCAGCGCCGCGGGGGCTGCCCTCCTGCCCCCCAGGCACCGGGACGGGGGGACGCGGGGACGGGGGGGTACGGCGGCATCCCTCACGCGCTCGGCTCGGCGCTGCCGCCCCGCTCCCTCCCGCAGCCTGACGCTGGTGGAGTGCGGACCCGTCAACACCAGCTTCCTGGCCAACCTGCAGCGCCCGGACCCCGAGGGCAGCGAGCTGCGGGGCCTGGACGCCGAGACGCGGAGCCTCTACCGCCGGTACCTGCGGCACTGCCAGAGCGTCTTCCGCGAGGAGGCCCAGGAGGTGGAGGAGGTCCTGCAGGTCAGTCCCTGCGGGATGGGGGCTCGGGGAGGGGTCCGTGCCCAGGGGTGGCCGCGAGGCCATTTCGGGGCCGGGTCTGACCCTCTGCGGTACCAGGTGTTCCTGGAGGCCATCGGCACCCCCTGCCCGCCCCTGCGCTGCCTCACCACCCGGCTCTTGGCCCCGCTCTCACGCCTGAGGCTGGCCAGCCCCGACGGCTCCGCGTACGTCCAGGCCATGCACGACTTCGTGTTCGGCTGCGGCGAGGCCGGTGGGGACCAGCCCTGAGCAGAGCTGCCGTGAGCCCCGGGGGGCCGTGCCCTGCAGCCCCCCAGCCCTGCAACGCCCGTCCCGGCCGCGGGGTCTGTGTGTGTGTGCGGGGGGGGGGGGGGGGGTGTCGGTCCCAGCGTGTCGCCAATAAAGCCCTTTCTGCATCCGCACTGCCCCGGCTCCGTCCCTGTCGCCGCGGCCCCCGCCGAGCAGCCCAGCCCGGTCCCCGCGGGCTCCCCGTGTCTGCGCTCCGGGGTCCCGCGTGGGTGTGTGGGGGGGTGTCCCCGGGATCCGGCCGTGCTCCGCGGAGCTGGCGGGGGCCGCGGCGTGCCCGCGGGCACCCCGCGCCCGGTGCGGCGGGCGGGAGGCCGGCTCCGTCCGTCTCCTCCCTCCGCGGGCGGAGCCCGGCCCCGACGCTCCGCCCGCCCCCGGGCCCCGGTTCCGGGGCGGTCTCGGTTCCCGAGCGGTTCCGGGGCGGTCCCCGGCCCGGCCATGCCGCCCTTCGGCTCGGGGCTGCTGGTGCTGACGGCCCCGCTGGGCTCGTTGCCGCGGCGGGCGGCGGCGGCGCTGGCGGCGGCGGCGGGGGTGGTGGCGGGGCCGCTCTACGTGCACCTGCAGCCGGGGCTGGCCCTGGCCGCCCCCGCGCCCCGCCCCGCCGCTCCGCCCGCCTGCCCCGCGCTGCTCCGCGCCCTGGCCGCGCTCTACGGGGCGGCGGCGGCGCAGCGGGGCCTGGACCTGCGCGTCCTGCTCGGGCCCGGCCGCCTGGCCCGGCCGCCCCGCGTCCTGCTCGCCGCCGCCGCCGAGGCGCCGGGGCCGCCGGGGCCGGTGCGGCTCGGCCTGCAGCGCCTGGCCGCCGCCGCCTACGGCTGCCCGCCGCGCCTGCCCGCGCTGCTGCTGGGGGACCCCGGGGGGGACCCCGGGGGGGACCCCGGGGGGGACCCCGAGGGGGACCCCGAGGGGGACCCCGGGGGGGACCCCGCCGCGCCGCTGCCCGGCTTCTCCGACGTGGCGGTCGGCGGCACCTTCGACCGCCTCCACGGCGCCCACCGCCTCCTGCTCAGCGCCTGCTGCCTCCTGGCCCGGCAGCGGCTCCTGGCCGGGGTGGCCGACGGCGACCTGCTCCGCCGTGAGTCCCCGGGGCGGCCGGCACCGTGCGGGGGCGCGGGGGGGGGAGCCGGGGGCGGCCGGCCCCGGTGCTGCGGTCGGTGGGCCCCGCGGTGTGCGGGGTCCTGGCAGCCCTGCACCCGAAGCGCCCGGGCGGGGTGGTGGCAGGGACCCGTCCGTACCAGCGAGCGGGGCGCGCGGAGCGAGGGCGCAGTGGAGGCGAGGGGAGCTGGAGGAGGCAGCCCCCCCCAGGCCCTGGAAGGGTTTTGTCTGCGTCTCCTGGTCTTGCCGCTGCTCTGGGAGCTGCGCGTCGTTAAACAGACGCTCTCTTGCTTCTCCACCCTCCTGGTGCCTGGCAGACAAAGTCCTGGCGGAGCTGATCGAGCCGTACGAGCTGCGAGCGGCAAAGCTGCGCGAGTTCCTGGAGGACGTGAAGCCCTCGCTGCGTTACGACATCGTGCCTTTGGCTGACCCCTACGGCCCCTCAGTCACGGACCCCAGCCTGCAGTGCTTGGTGGTCAGCGAGGAGACCCGCAGGGGAGGGGAGGCCGTCAACAAGAAGAGACTTGAAAACGTAATGTCTGCACGGGAGCCCCCTCCCGCCCCCTCTCCCCTGCCCACCGCTGGCTGGGGGCAAATCGGGGCCCCGCGGCTGTTCGGTGCCGTAGCCCAGCCTCGAGGGCGGGATGCCCCCGCGCCCGTCTGCCAGCGCCCACAGATGGGTGCTTTGTGCCGAGCTGCCCCCAGCTGCGTGCGCCCCAGGGATGGTGCAGCAGAGGGTTGGGGTCAGACGGGCAGCTCCGTGGGCTCCGTTCCCCTCTCGGCAGCTGAGAACGTGCCCCTCGTGGGGACGGAGCTGCCCCATGGGGACACTGGCGGCGGCCGTGGCCTCGTTTGCGCTTCTTCATTCAGGCCTTGACCTCCCGCTGAGCCCCCCTTTCCCGCGGCTGACGGCCCTCGGGGCTCTTCTCTCGCAGGGGCTCCCCGAGCTGGCTCTCTATGAGATCCTGTTGATGAAGGACCCCGACCACAGTCAGAGCGAGGAGGAGAAGATCAGCTCCTCCAGCCTCCGGCAGAGGCTGCTGGGGACGCTGCTGCGGCCCCCGCGGGTGAGGGGGTGCTCGGAGAGCTGCGGGCTGCGATGGGAACGGTGTGCCCGGGACGAGGGGTGCAGGGGGACAAGTTTCGGAGGACTGCCTGCCTGCTGCCTGTCCCGGCCCCTGGCGGGAGCAGGCCCCTGCTCGGCAGGGCCAGGACCTTCCATGCCTGTCTCCAGGCCGGGTGGTCGGGATCCTTCTCCGGCAGAGCCCGTGTCCTCTGTCTGCTGGCCATGGCTTTCCTTCTTCCCTTAGCAAGACCCTGCCTTGCCTTCGCGCCCATACGTGATCGGCCTGACTGGAGGAACTGGGAGTGGGAAAACCTCCATCGCCAAACTCCTGGGGCAGCTGGGAGCGTTCATCATCGACGCCGACAAGCTGGGCCACGCCGTCTACGCCCCTGGTGGCCCTGCCTACGAGCGGGTGCTGGCGGCTTTTGGGGCAGGTAGAGCCACCGGGGGCTGCGGGGGAGACTGGGAGGAGGAAGAGGAGGGAGAGGTGTGCCATCGTCCTGGCATCCCAGGGAGCCGTCCTGGCCCAAACTCCCCTCCCTCCCCGTGGGTTTTGGGCTCCACACCCAGCTGGAGATCTGTAGCTGATTTGGTGGTGGTTGGGCCTGAGCGTGGCAAACCAGCCCTTTCCCCAAAGTCTCACGTGTCCTGTGTCAGAGCTACTGTAAACCGGCTGGTGTGGAAGGCTAAACTGGGCTGCTGCTTGCCTAGGAAAAGCTTTTCCCTGTCCATCTCTGGAGTAAGGTGAAGAACTGCCAGATCAGGTCCTACAGCTCCTTTCTGAGTCCCTTTGAGAGCCCCGTGCTGAAATCCTTTCATGGTGAGCTAGGCTTGCTGCAGGGAAGTGAGTTGGATTTGTTCCTCCCAAGCCTGTTCTGCTTCTGTCTTGCAGAGATCTTGAATAAAGACGGGACAATTAACAGGAAAGTCCTTGGAGCCAAAGTGTTTGGAAACCAGGTGAGAGCAGCACAGACACTGTCAATATTTAATCTCGTGAGTGGGAAGCTCTCCATCTGTGCTGAGGCTTTTTATTTTTCAGCCCTTTGAGCTGATGGTGCCTTCCTGACTGTACTTTCTGGCAGTGACGTACAGACAGGGCAGGACACACAGATCCTGCCTCTGTAGCCGAGTCAGCAGCCGTGCTGGACACGCTCTTCTCGTCCCAGCAGCTGCTGCTGCCTCCCCAACCCCGTCCCCTCTGTCCCACGCTTGTCCTTCACCCAGCGTGGAGCAACAGCCCTGACGTACGTGGAGCCGGTGCTCTGCCCCGTGCATGGTTTGGGCTTGTACCCAGTGGGGCTCGGTGACAGAACGGCTCTGTGCCCGGCTTTGCTGGCCAGGCCATCGCTCAGCCTTTCCCTGAGGTCCTGCGGGCTGCCCCACCCAAGCACGAAGGCAGCTCGAGGGGTTCCCCTGAGATGGACAGGTCTCGCGTGGGTGCTGCTGCGTGGGGAGCTCGCTCTGCTGCGGGGTCGGTCCTTGCAAAGCGCCTCTCGCAGCAGAGCCCGAGGTTCTGCCGTGCCTGGCAGGGCAAGGAAAATACTAGGGAAAAGAGCCTTGACCCCGTCAGCAGGCATGGGAGCCTCTGGCCAGCGTGGAAGTTTCCCTTCCTTGAGCTTAGGGAGCAGGCAACGGGGTGGGTCCATCCCCCGTGCTGGGTGCCCTCCGTGACTGCTGTGGCCACCGGTGGTCCCCTTGTTGGCTGCCCGTGGCTTCTGAGGGCAAGTAACCGAATGCTGTCGTGGTCCTTTCTAGGAGCGGCTGAAGAGTCTCACGGACATTGTGTGGCCTGAGATGGCCCGGATGGTCAAGGAGCAGATTGGGGAGGCGGACGCTCAAGGTATCTGGGGTGGCTCCCGTCGCAGCACTAAGGTGGGAGTTGGGTGCATGGTCTTGTGCAGCACACCACGACCCAGCGCCCCTGGGAACCTGCTGCTTTTGGCAGCACTGTGAGTATTTTCCATGATCAGACCCCGCTTTTCTCTGCTGGGCGTTTTCACTAGCACATCTCTCAGCAAACTCCTTCGCTCCGCTGGGACAGGCTTCCCTCGAGCTTCCTGCTTTGAAGGAGGGTGGACGTTGCTTTCTCTTTCGCATGTGACTTCATTTTTGGTGTAGCGCTCCAGCAGTGAGCCTGGTGTGTATTTCTTCTGGGGGCAAAATTTTTCCAGCTCTTGGGAGATGCTGTTGGTAGCTCGATAGGCGTTTGGCTGCAGGCATTGGCTTGCCATGCCTGAGAGACCTGCCATCCCAGGCATGCCCTTAAAGCAAACACAGCCTCTGCCTGCTGCTCTGTTTTACCACGTGAGGTTCTTTGGCTCAGCAGTAAAGTGTCTGTGCTGCCAGTTTGCAGGAAGGCGTAACTCTACGGCTGCAAGTGGGCTGGCTGGGTTGGACCCCGAGGAGCAGTCGCGTTGTCTGGCGATTGCCAGGTGGTGAGGAATGGCCTTGTTCCGTAGGAAAGGCCGTCTGCGTGCTGGACGCTGCCGTGCTGCTGGAGGCTGGCTGGCAAGACATGGTCCATGAGGTGTGGACGGCCATCATCCCGGAGGAGGAGGTGGGCGATGCCCCTCAGCCCATCGCTCGCTGCCTGGGGCTGGTCCTCGGCTTCCCCGCCGAGCCTGAGCATCCCCCCTCGTCCTGCCAGGCTGTGAAACGCGTCGTGGCCAGGGACGGGCTGAGTGAGGAGGCTGCTCGCGGCCGGCTGCGGAGCCAGATGACCAACAGCCAAAGGGTGGAGCGGTCGCAGGTGGTGCTGAGCACGCTCTGGGAGCCGGACGTCACCCGCAAGCAGGTGCCGGCCGCGGCGCTGGGGTCTGTCCTGGCTGGCAAAGGGGGAGGCGGGCGGCTGCGGCAGGGACCGGAGGGCTCAGTGCTGCGCCTGGGGCTGCGTGCGTCGTGCCCGGGCACGCTGCTCGCCATCGGGGCTGTACGGGCTCGGGGATGTAAACGCAGCAGGGAGGGGAGGGGAAGCGCGGGGGCTTCGTTCGTGGGCCGCGTCCCCGGCACAGCCGCGGGCTCTGAGGTGCCTCCCGTGCGGGTTCTCTGGCAGGTGGAGAAGGCCTGGGCCCTGCTGCAGCAGCGCCTCAGCCAGACGTGCAGCCCCTGAGGGGGTCCCACGCCGGCGCGGCGGGAGGCGAGGGTCCGTGTCCTGGCATCACGCGCCGGGAGGAGCGCAGCGCGGAGGCAGAACCCCCCCCCCCACCATCCAGCCCCACGGAGGGGCCGGGGGCATCCAGCCGCGCCCTGGTGCAGAGGGGGGACACGCTGCGGCCCCCCGGCCCCGAGGGCTGAGCCTGCGCCGGTGCCTGGGCCTCCCTCGGTGACAGTAAAGAGGCTTCTCCCGCTCTGCGTGTCCCTGGGCTGGTTCTGTCCCTGCACCCCCGCTCCCGGCTCCGGGGGGGCCGGGCTGGGTCCCGTCCCCCTCCCCGACCGCCGCCGGGACACTCGGTGCCGCCGGGTCCGTCCCGTGGACGGGAGGAGCAGCCGGTCCCGCCCCGGTGCCGGCGGGCAGGGCCGAGCCGCGGCCGGTGCTCGTGCCGCCTCCCTGTGTCTCCGCATCCCCCCCGTTCCCCACCGGTGCAGCCGGTGCGGCCGCTCCCGCCCCGGCGGGTCCCGGGCTGAGCCCCCCACGGCCGCGGTGCCCTCGGCGGGGCCCGGCTGGACTCTGACGTCATCCCTGCTCGGGGCCCCGCCCTCTTTGTGGCCGTTTATCCCGCTCGAGACAAGTCATTTTTCCCGCCCCGCTTTCTGCCCCCCGGGGACACGCCCCGCGCCCGCTGCCCCGCCCCCCAGCGCCGTGCGTCACCGTGACGTCGGGGCGGCACGGGCCGGCCCAGCTGCGGGCGCCCCCTGGCGGCGCGGGGGGGGGGCGGGGGCGGCTGCGCTTCCCGTCGGCCCCCGCGGCGGTCACATGACCGAGGGCGGCCGGAAGATGGAGGAGCCGCCCGGCGCCGCGGCCGAGGACTCGTGGGCGAAGGTGGGTCCGTTCACCGGGCCCGGGGCCGGGGAGAGCGGGAGGGGCGCGGGCCGAAGGTCACTGGGCGGGCGGGGGGTGCAGCTTGGGCGGCCCAGGGGGGACGGGCCGGGGCGGACGGGGGGAGCCGGAGGTCTCCAGAGGCTTCTGGGATTAACGGGCCGGGAGGCTCCGAGGGGAGCTGGACCGGGAGCTGGGGGGTGACGGGCTGGGGGTCGGGGGGCTCCAGATGGGGCCGAGGGGGACGGGACGGGGCTGGGGAGCAGGGCTGGGGGTTCCGGAGGGTTCTGGGGCTGATGGGCCAGGGAGTGGCTCGGGGGGAGCCGGGCCGGGGGCCAGGGGGAGCTGGGGGGCTCTGGGGGGGCCGCGGTTCGCTGCCCCAGCCCAGCTGACATCTCCCCTCCCGCCGCCGCGGCACCGCGCAAGGTGGACGCTGCCTACGGCGACAATGGCCTGGACGCCGGTAGGTGCCCGGGCTGCCCCGCACCCTCTCTGTGCCCGGCTGGCAGCGGGGTCCCGCCGACCCCCCCATCCCTCCACACCCCCTCGCTCACTGCGGGAACCCTCTTCTTCCAGCGCTCTTCATGGAAAACGCCAGGAAAGGGAGCATAGTGTCACGAGCCAACAGCATTGGCTCCACCAGCGCCTCTTCTGTCCCCAACACAGGTGGGTCTGTGGGGTTTGGCTGCTGTCACCACGGGTCTTTCTGCCCACTGCAGGTGCCCAGCACGTTGCGGGGCTTCCAGCTCTGCTCCCCGAGCTGAGCCGAGCGCGGCTGCCCCCCCTCGCTGCCTGGGCAGGATTCAACCCTGGGCAGGAAGGTGGTGGGGGACAGTGCCGGGGCGTTGTGGTTTCCAGCAGTGTCTGGCGTTGGGAGTCGGTCGGGTTTTGACGCCTCCCCAAGGGAGCTGCCGGCACCTTCCCCCTGCCCAGCTGCGCAGCGAGCGGGCTGGCGGGGCCCCTCGCAGCGCTTGGCCTTGTCCCGAGCCGCCGGCGCTGAGCCCCTGGGCCGTGCGGGGGTGGCCGGGGCCCGCGGAGCCCCCCCTGCGCCCCGGGAGCTCGGCAGCCGGGCTGCTGCACGCTCAGGCGAGTCCCCTCCACGCAGACGACGAGGACAGCGATTATCACCAGGAGTCCTACAAGGAGTCGTACAAGGACTGGCGCAGGCGGGCGCACACGCAGGCGGAGCAGAAGAGGCGAGACGCCATCAAGGTAACCCGAGAGGCTGCGGGCGCCCAGCACCCCGCTGTTCACAGCACCTTCCCCTCCCTTCTGCTGCTGGATCCACCCCGACAGCAGCGTGCTGGGAGCCACCTTGGCTCTGGCTGCCTGCCTGGTGGGAGCTGGGATCTGGCACCTTTTGAAACAACCACTCTCTCACTGCTGACCTCCAAATACACGTGCTGTGGCTCTGCTTCCCCGCAGAAAGGCTACGATGACTTGCAGGCCATCGTTCCTACCTGCGAGCAGCAGGATTTCTCCATAGGCTCCCAGAAGCTGAGCAAGGCCATCGTCCTCCAGAAGAGTGAGTCTTGAGGGTGGGGAGAGGGAAGGGGGGTGCTATCAACCCTCAAAGCATGGAAGTTCAGCACTTTTGGACCTTCCGGTGTGACGAAGCTCTGGGGAAGCCCAGGCACTGGCCACCTCCACCCCCCCACCTCCCCAGGGAGAATCGGTGCAGCCGGGAGCTGATGCTGCCTGGGCTCGGGCACCCCCTGCGGGGATCTCGGGCGCTTGTGTGTGCTCTCAAATCCTCACTCTGTGTTTTCATGCTCAGCCATTGACTACATCCAGTTCTGCACAAGGAAAAGAAGAAGCAAGAGGAGGAAGTTTCTACCCTCAGGAAAGACGTGATGGCGTTGAAGATCATGAAAGTGTAAGGGAAGAGCTGTCGGGGTCCTGCCTTCCTCTTCCGGCTGTTTTCCCCGCTGTCCTTGCCAGGCTCTGCGGATGCACTCGGTGCTTCGCAGGCAGCCCGGCTCCTGCAGTACCAAACCTGTCCCTGCCCGCTGCCTTCGCTTCTCCTCCAGCGGCTCGTTAGTGTGGGTCTGTCTCGGGTCAGTTGGTGGAGTTTAGTATGAAGGTGGATCTGAGTCAGAAGATGAACCTGCTCCCAGCGTCAGGAGCAGCTGCAGCTTCCCTGTGTTTATTTACTTGCAGGATTTTCTGCAAACTCTTGGTTCTCCCCATCCTGCAGCAGTTCTCCATGGTCAGTGCCAGGCAGAGAGCTCTGTCCCCACAGCTGAGCAGGAGCCGGGCACGGGAGGCCTCACTCTGCTGCTGAACACGGGGCGCTCGGTTTGTTTCAGGAACTACGAGCAGATTGTGAAAGCTCATCAGGACAACCCGAATGAGGGGAAGGACCAGGTCTCCGATGAGGTGAAGTTCAATGTTTTCCAAGGCATTATGGATTCCCTGTTCCAGTCCTTCAATGCCTCCATCTCCGTAACCAGTTTCCAGGAGCTCTCAGCGTGTGTCTTCAGCTGGATTGAGGAGCACTGCAAGCCCCAGGTGAGCGCGGGAGCAGCGGGCGGGCTGTGGCGATGGCAGAGGGAGCGGGGCAGAGCGCACTGCGCAGGACCGGGCATCCCCGTCCCCTCTCCCGGGGCTTCCGAAAGGGCAGCGTTTGGCTGTGACTGGTGCTGGGCTGGGGCAGCGCGGGGGCACGGGGGGGACAGAGATGGTGCCTGAGCCCCAGCCGCTCCCAGCTGCCGGACTGGTTTGGTGCTGAAAGCTGGCCAGGGTGGGACAGAGCTCAGGAGGGTCCTGCCTGGTCCCCTTCACACCCTGGGCGGGGCAGGGAGGGCACAGGGCCGGGTCCCTGCGCTGCTGCAGCTGCCCGAGACGCTGGGGCCCAGGGCCGGGGTGGGAGCATTGCCCTTACGGGTGTGGGGGGCTGGGCAGCCCGGGGGTGCAGGGGGGTGCCTGTGGCATGGGCCCCAGGCTCTAGCGGGAGTCGCCCACCAGCGAACGACTGACCGTGTCTCCTCCTGCCCCAGACGCTGCGGGACATTGTGATCGGGGTCCTGCAGCAACTGAAGAGTCAGCTGTACTGAGCCTTCCCCTGCAGCGCCGGCAGCTCTGGGGCACCCCCTGCCCAGGGGCCTGGGTGACGGGCGCCAGGAAGGGCTGGGCCGTCTCCCTCGTGGCTGTTTTTAAAGCTTCTCTGAATTAATTATTTATTGTATTAACTACAAAACCAAAACGAGGCTGTGCAGACACCTCTGCTCCACAGGTACTGTCACAGTTGATACTACCAAATATTTGTAGGCACTTGGCAAAGGAGGGGAAAAAGGTGTGTGTTGAGGAGAGGTCTTTTAGGGTGCCAGAGAGTCGTTAGCCCGGGCAGGCGTGGTGGGGGTCGCCTGCGCTCCCGACTCTGCGCTGTGGAGCGGAGCCGCTCTGTAACCTCAGGGCGCTGACACGAGCCCTTCTGATCCCGGGGGAGGGGGATGAAACACGAACGGCTGCTAAAAGCTGTTGGTTTCTGTTAAAACAGACTCGGAATAGGCAGCTCCTGTAACCGTGGGTGGTCTGGGGGGGGCAGGGGTTCGGGTTGTGTAGGTGCGTTGGCAGAGCTGCCTGAAGGACGAGCCCGTCGCTGCCAGGGAGATGCTCGGGCAGCCGCGACCTCCCTGGTGCGGAGCCGGCGGCGCCGTGACCTCTGCTGCTGCCCTGGCAGGGAGACAGGAGGGAGCTTTCACCCGCTCACGCTGGTGAGCGCCCCGACGTGTCTGGCTTCACCCGTCATCAGGTTCTGACGTGGCTGTGCTGAACAGGGCAGCGGTTCAGCAGCTGTGACAGCGCTGCCACAAGCTCTCGCGGCTCCTCCTTAGAACTTAGACGCACACATAGACATAAGCAGCCTTGATTGGATTTGATTTTTGTTTTTGTGAATCACTGAAATCATACTGAGGTATTACCAGTGTCAGCTTCGCAGACGTGCTCTCTGGGACACTTGTTAACCTGTCACAGGCCGCTGCTGTCATCGCCGTGTGGGGCAGCCGCTGCCCAAGTGATTGTACCGGGGCCCCTCCGGCGCGGTGACACCAGCAGCGGGATTTGTTCTTTGTAATCACAGCTGTGCTCCCACACCAGGGCAGTCGATATTGATTTTACAGTTTTTCCACTGTTGAGGAGGTAGCACTTGGCTCCAGGTTACGTAGTTTGAGCGCTGCAGCAGGAGAATGTTTAAGCTAGTGCTTCTACCCACAGTTAGTAGCAGAGAACTTGCTCAGATGGTTGATTTTTATACAAAATTAGTCTTCAATCCCCACACTGGGGTGCCCTTTCTGCTGCACTGCAGCGGAGGCCCCGGAGCCAAACCCTGCAGTGACGCAGGGGCGGCTGTGCCTCAGCGGGACGCTGCTGCTTCGTGGTGACACAAATCCCTCTCCCAGGTGAGCGGGGGGGGGGTCAGGGCTCCGTGGCTGAACGAGGGGCACATGCTGAACCCCTGGAGCTGCACTGCTGGAAGCTGCCTCCTGCCTTGGGAAGATGTGGAGTTTTACAGACCTCACACGTGAAAGCAATGTATTTTTCTATTGTGAAAAGTAATTACATAAATTTTGCTGAATGTTTTAATGATTTTTCTGCTTTTGTTGCTGTTGCTGAGTTCCTAGCGCCTACCCCTAGAGTTGGTCAGAGATGGACTCGTTTCTGGAAGCCCAGGCCAGCCCTCGCGGCTCAGGTTACCTGTTCCTGGCTCTCACCCTCCCCAGCCCTGCCCCGACACTCTCTGAATAGAGAAACACCACAGCAAAGCACAGCTCAACCAAAATCCTGGAGTTTAATGTGTCAGCTTCTCGAGTACCGCTCGGTCAGACTGTGGGAAGCAGGTGAAACAGTGGTAGAGCTCTGCAGCCATAACAGTCCCAAGTTCACTGGCCTTGCTGAGGCACTCACTTCTGTTCTTAGGGCAACCCCAGGGGCCGCAGAGCCGTGTACTTGCACCCTCCCCTACGCAGCCCCCCGGGGCCACCCTGAAGGGCAGGGAGAAATAACGTTCCCTCCGCCGGCAAGATGCTGAGAGGGCCCAAGGCTGAGTCCCTCCACCCCCCCCTTCCAGCTGCAAAGCATTTTAAAACAAACAAATAAGCAGGACAAGCCCAAGCCCCGCAAAAGGGGGAAAAAAAAAATCAACCCAACAGCTGAGTTGCTGCATCAGCTTCTGGTCCCTGGGGCTCACACAGCTGCCGGCAGCGTGACGTTGTGGTCCTCGTCCGTCTCGATCCCAACCTCCTCCTGCGCCAGCACGGAGCGGCTCAGCACCACGGCAGAGCCACCGCCACAGCCCAGCCGGCCTCGGTACTTACGAAGAATTGCTTCTTGCTTTTGGGGTACCCCTCCAGGATGGCCTCCAGCAGCTCGGTCGCCTGGCAAGACAGGGGTGCAGGGAGGGCCGTGGGGCAGCGCTCAGGGCCCGGCCCGCGCAGCGCGGGCACTTCCCCGAGGGAGCGTCGGTACCCGCCAGCCTGCCCCAAACCTGCTCCCTGCTCCGCAGCTCCAGCGGTCGCCCGAGCTCTCCTCGCTCAGCACCGCACGGCGCCAGGGTGCTCAGCTCCCCGCGCTGCCCAGCTGATCCCCCAGCCCCGCGCCGATGGCACCCAGCGTCCCCGCAGGGCCGTCACCACCGCCCACCCGGCGCTGCCCACCCACCCTGCCCGGTGGCACCGCCGTTACCATGCGCTTCCGCCGCCGCCACTCCTGGCAGTACAGCCTCTGCTCGCCACAGACCTGCAGACAGCAAGACACAGTGGGAACAGACCAGGGAGCTGCTGTGAGCCCGTGGCCGGGAAGTGCCTGGTGCCAAGGACCCCCCAGATGTTCCAGCTACCACCAGAGGGTTATTTAACAGCACAAGTGGCCCGTGAAGCCCCTGCAGGGACATGAACCTCTCTGTAAAACAGATCACCCGAGCCAAGGAGAACTGAGTTCACCAACCGGTGGGTGACTGCACGAAGAAAAAGTTTGTAAGGAAAAGGCAGCTCAGGCCGTTTCCTAAAACCCCGAGCGGTGTCACCATCGTGCTCAGGGCTGAGGCTCCTCACGGGCTCTGCAGAGCAGCCCGGGGCCCACACGTCCCTGTGCCTCTGTCCTCCCAGTGTCAGTCGGGCTGGGCACTGGGTGACTGGTGGAGGGTTTGGTACAACCAGCCCAGCCCCTGCCAGTTCTTCACCTTCTCTTTCTCTTCTGGAGTCACGTGGTTGCTGGCAGACTTGATCCTCTCCAGTTTCTCTGCGTAACTCGCACAGTCCCTCCTCAGCTCCTCGACCTCTCTGGCCATCTCAGGGGTCGTCATGGAGCTGTTCAGGTCCTTCAGCTCTGGAAGGGAGGCAGCGATCGGGGCAGAGCCACCCGTGCCAGCGCAGCCACGGCCGCTGCCCGGGCAGGCAGGACCCACTCACCCGCCTCCGCGTGCCGGCAGCTCTGCTGCAGCGCCTGCACCTTGGCCGAGAGCGCGGCAATCTGCCCGTCCAGGCCGCGGAGCTCCGCGTCGCCGGCGGCCGGGAGCTGCTCCTGCGGCGAGACCGTCGGGGGGTCGGCGGGGCGGGCGCCAGCGGGGGTGCCCCCCGGGGCCGGGTCTCACCTGGGCGGCGAAGTAGATCTTCTGCTTCCCGTAGGTTTTCTCACGGACGCGGCCCTGCTGCGCCAGCTGCTCCAGCGCCTTCACCACGGCCTGCGGGACCAGCGCGTCAGCCGGCCCCGGGCCCCTGTCCCGGCCCCCCGGTACCGACCCCGGCCCCGCTCACCGCCTTGCCCAGCCCGTGCTCCCGCTGCAGGTTCCCGAAGGCGTCCTGGGCGCTGTACGGCCGGTTCTGCTCCCGCAGGTACCGCAGCAGGACAGCGGCGGCGCCCCCTGCGGGACAGCCCGCCGGTCACCGGGAGCGGGGCGCCTGCCCGCTACTCTCCGCCCGCCCGCTCTTCACTCCCAGCCCGTTACTCCCCGCCCCCCCCCCCCGTTATTTATTTACTCCCCCGCCCGTTCTCCCCCTCACCGCCCGCCGCGGGCCCCTCCCGGCTTTTGCTCATCCTCCGCCCCGCTCCGCTCCCGTCCGGCGGCGTGACGCACTTCCTGCGCGCCGCCCGCCCACCGGGGAAAGGGACGAGCGGAGGGCTCCCATTGGTGGGTGATGCGAAGCCCCGCCCCGAAGGCGGGGCTAGCCCGGCCGCCCCGCGGTCCCGCCGCCCGCCCGCGGTCCCGCCGCCCCCCCCGCCTAACGGCCCCGCGGGCACCCGACGGCCAGCGCCCTCCGGCGGAAAGAGGCAGAGAAAGGGGTTTCCCTGAAGAGGCACGTTCTTTGCTGCACAAACGCGATCGGAACCCGGTTCTATGGCTTAGAAAAAGCGGCGGTAGGGGCGGGGGGCCGGGACCCCCGGCTGGCAGAGCGTCTCTCCCACGGAGGTCGCTGGTTTGTCTCCGTGACCGCGACACGCACGAGCTCTCCAGTCACGGGTGGCTCGGGCTGGCATCGACACAGGGCAGGAGGCAGCGGGCTGTCCCCGAGGCCAGAACAAAACCAGCCGGGCAGAGCAGCTCCACCGCCTCCCGGCCCCAGCAGCCCCCCGAGGGCAGCGCGGGGGGACGTGCAGCGCTGCCACTGTCCACGGGGGCTCTTAGCAAAGTGCTCGTCCGCTATTTTAGGAAAGCGACACAGAACAGCTGCCACATATAGATGTTCTTTGCAGGACTCTAGTCATCACAGTAGATGTCTTATTGCCAGTACGTCTCTTACAAAATAGCATCACTAGGAAGCTGGAACTGGAGATGAGTGGCCATTGCAAGTACAAACATTGTGGCTGCACACCGTCGTGTCCACAACAGGAGCGAGGGGTGTGTTTCTACCCAGAACTGGATATTGCTGGGATAGAAGACTTGGATTCTGTGCACATTTTAGGAGCGGGGAACAGTTGTCTTAAAGACAGAATAGCATTAAGTCCCAGACACTAAATCTGAGGGGAAACCAATCCTGTTCACCTGGTTACGCATCAGCCCCGGAAGGTCGGCTTCAAGATTGTCCTTGGCCATGCTACGTTGGTCTGACCGGTGGCCTCTAGAGCTGCAGACACCAGATTTATTGTCTTATGTGAAGAAGTTCGGAGCAAGCAGCATCCTGGCAGACAGGGCAGGGCAACGCATGGGTGATTGTGGAGCTATCACATCAACGCCTTTTCCCTATGAATTACCGGTGTAGTTTATTTTAAAATCCAAGCGAGACTACAGAGTCACAAGTCACAGTGGTGTTCCCAGCCAGGACTGGCTATCACGTCACTCATACTCACACGGGAGACAATCGAGACAACTGTGCAAGGCTTTTCCTTCCAGGATTCCCTCCACGATGCGCAACAGAAAACCAGAGGGAAGTGGTGGAATTGCTTACTGGCCCCGCGAGCCAGCAGGATCCAGCTGGTTCAGCTCGGACTGATCCAGCAGTTCAAAGTCATCCCCTTCCGCATCAGTGTCCAAGTCTGAGCTGGCCGTTCTGAGGTAAGTCTTTGCACCTCTCTGGGGATTGTCGCCACGTGAGGAGCCTGGCTGAGGGGCTCCTGACAGCGCAAGCTGTATCATCCCTCTGGTGACAAATCCAGCTATGTTGTTAGTAAGATTCTGTACAGATGGCAGTGCACCAGACTCTTCCTGGTCATAAGGGAGATGCAAATCTTCTGTCACTTGTGGGCGGTAAGCCAGACTTGGGATCCCAATGCTGGTGTCATCTTCGTCATCTATGCCAGTTGCTTCTGGGTTTATGGAAGGGAAGTCAGGGAGATCTCTAGCAAAAGATTCTTCTGGGTCACTGTGACCGTCCAGGTCTAGAAGAGGAGAAAGTGCTTTGAATACATAGTACACGCCAAAGACCCCGCAGGCGAGGGCAGCACAGCACACAAAAGCTGGGCCATTACCTCCCCAAGACAGACCGTCTCTTGTCATCTCACAGACCAAACGCTCTTTAATCTTCCCCCCATACAGCTCTTTGGGATGCCTGCTGACCTCCCAGTTCACCCACAAGGAATGCAGGTGCTCAACCAGACACCTTCCCTTCTGCCAGAGGGAAGTGCCCCCTCCCAGACTTTGCGCTGCAACCTGTATCCCCACAGCCAGAGACTGGCCGAGCTGGATCTGCCTTTGAAGAGCAGCTGTCGTTGCTCTACTAAAGCACCACAGGAATGAAGGAGGAAGCTCAAATTCTGAAAAAACAGGTAGTTGCATCTCATCTTAGTCAGCAAGACACATCAAACAGCTAGACCTCAAGGACAGAAGGCAATGCTCCCTCCCTCCAACCCGTCACACCGGTGCCTGCTCAGCACTCCACACCTTCCAGAAGCTGCCCATCCCCTCTCACCTTCGGATCCCTCTGTCAGGGGAGTCTGGCCTCTCGACAGGTTAAACATCCCGTTTTCAGTGTAGGAAACCTCAGCATCCGAATGCTCCGAGTCAGAGATGGTTAGTTCCTTGGCGACCACAGAGTCATCCAGCTTTGAAATTGGACATAAAATTGAAAACATCAAATACTGGAAAGCTCATTCCTGTGCCCCAAGGCAAAACACGTGATCCAGTGGCCACCAGTTAAACCCAGTCCTCACGG